AGAGAGAGAGAGAGAGAGAGTGAGAGAGAGAGAGAGAGAGAGAGAGTTGTCAGAGGGACTTTTATGAACTACATTAGTGTTTTAACAAAGTTAGTTTGCTAATAAATGAAACTAAATAAAGTAGCTCTTGTGTTGTTGTTTGTTTTGGTTAATTAGCTGCAAATCTCAGGTGTGTTTGCGTTCTTTCAGAGGGACTAACGTTGGTGTTAAACTAATTTACTTAAAATATTAAACAGCAGCTTATTCTCAGAGATGGGGTGTTACTTATTCTCAACTATTTTGGTGTTATAATAACATGCGTCTTATTTGGTCTTTGACACACGTGGTGTATTGTTTATGTCTGTTTATCTCACATTTACTCTGCCGTTCAAAAGTTTGGGATCAGAAAGATTTTTAATGTTTTTTAAAGAAGTCTGTTTTGCTCACCGAGGCTGCATTTATTTGATCAGAAATACAGAAAAAGCTGTAATATTGTGCAATATTATTGCAGTTTAAAATAAGGGTTTTCTATTTTAATATACTTTAAAGTATAATTTATTTCTGTGATGTGCAGCTGTATTTTCAGCATCATTACTCCAGTCTTCAGTGTCACATGATCTTCAGAAATCATTCTAATATGCTGATTTATTATCAATGCTGGAAACCGTTTTGCTGCATAATGTTTTTTTGGAACCTGTGATACTTTTTTCAGGATTCTTTGATGAAGAAAGTTAAAAAGAACAGCATTTATTTAAAATGTTGCAATAATATTTCACAATATTACTGTTTTTTCTGTATTTTGGATCAAATAAATGCATCCTTGATGAGCAGAAGAGACTTCTTTTTAAAAAAACATTACAAATCTTACTGATCCCGAACTTTTGAATGGCAGTGTGTATAGGCCTGTCGCAATAATCAATATATCGACTTATCGCGCAATATATGTACATGACCTCAATCATTTTTGGTGACGCAATATATCGCCCATTATATTTACTTAAAAATGAATGTCGTGTTTTTTACATTCCACTTGCGCCTGTGTCTTTTGCAGCTTCTCGTGCATAACGTGGTGTAGTCATGAGTTCAAATTTTTAAAATGCTTCTACAAAAAAGTTTCATCTGCAGATATGATCTTGTTTAGGGATCTGTGCCTTTGTGCACGTGTACATCTGACTGCTTTAAGTAGTGATTGTGTTTTTCAGCAATAGTGTGCACCTTTTACTTACAGAGAAAAGAAGGTCAGGGGAAAATCTGCAGATGGAAAAATCTCCATACAAGTGCATTTTTCTTTTTTTCGTACTTGTTACTTTGCACTTTTTGTTAGAAAATGTTTATTTACTATTTATTCAAGTTTTTTAAGGTATCTAATATTTTGATACTTAATTTCCATGATCTAAATATTCTTAAAAATTAAAAGTTTGTTGTCATTTGGAAGTGTGTTGGCCTTCTTGCGTTATTATGCTGTTACATTATGATTATATATTCAGTGGCATAAAATGGTCTTTAAAATGATAATAATATCGCTTATCGCAATTATTTATGGGGCAATATATCGCACAACCAAAAGTTATCGTGACAGGCCTAAGTGTATATTGATGTTATAATAATGATGTGATGCCGAGGTGTTTGAGATGTTTATTAACTATTTTGGTGTTATAATAGCATGCTGCATCTTTGATCTTTGACACACGTGGTATATTGTTTATGTCAGTAGGTTATCTCACATTTATGCGGTTCAGAAGGACTTTTGTGAACTACACCTGTTTTATAAAAGCATGTTTGATTAGAGGGGTTGCTTTCGTATGGTAGTTGTAACCTGGAGGTGTGATTTAAATGTAAATTATATTATTAAATTGTTATGTTTGCTTTAATAATAAGGTGTGTTTTATCTGTTTTTGTGCATGAGCTGCAGCTTTCAAAATTGTGTTTTCAGACTTTTGTTAAGTATATGCTGCAGACTCTGGAGAGTAAGTCTCGGTAAACCAGGTGCGCATTTGTACTTGATTTAGCTGTGTTTCTGCTGGTGCACGTTGCAGATGTGTGTGATTTGAGGGTGAAATGTGCACTGGATTGTACAATTTGAGATTTGTTTGTAAGGTGAAATGTTTTGTGTTCAGGTGAACGGGCCTGATGGCGTTCTGCCCAACGGAGAGGATGCAGTGGTGAAGACCAGCCAACTTCTGGCCGAGCTGAACTTTGAGGAGGATGAGGAAGATACGTACTACACTAAAGACCTGCCGGTGCACGCCTGCAGGTACTGATGACACAACTGCCCTGATCTCATACGCCATAATCATGTGTCTGTAGCTGTGAGAGCTATACAATAATGCACAGTTCTCTGAAATACTTGCCTCTGATTGCTCACTCGCAGTATTCTTTGTGTAATGACACTGTGCTGTATAATTGACAGTTTTCCCAGGCAACTTATTTATACAAAAGATGATGCATCACCCCTCTGATTGTACATTATGCTTGATGTAGGTCTTTTGTTTTTGAAGTAGTTATTTATCAGCCAGATTTTAGGTTATAATTTATATGAAAAAAAGTGTATATTTTCAGACTTGTCATTGCCATTATTGTCACCAGTTTTTCCGCCATTTTAATTTTTTATTATCTTTATCATTTTAACCTTTTTTTTTTTTTTTTTAAATGTACACACATTGTATGTGCCTTCACTACCTGTCAAATGTTTGAGTCAGTAAGATTTTTATTTTTAAGAAATTTATATATTTTTTCACTGAGGATGCGTTAAATTGATAAAAAGTGACATTACAGACTTTAAATAATTTGATAAAAGATTTCTGTTTCAAATATATAAAAATATTAAGTTTAAATATGTTTATTTTTGATGTCCGGTTATAATCAAATATTTTGAACTTTGTATTCATAAAAGAATCCTAAAAAATAACAATTTCCACCAAACTGTGAAGCAACACAACTGTCTTCAACATTGATAATAATCAGAAATGTTTCTTGAGCAGCAGATCAGCATATTATACTGATTTCTGAAGATCATGTGACACTGAAGACTGGAGGAATGATGCTGAAAATACAGCTGCGCATCACAGAAATAAATTACATTTAAAAATGTATTCACATAAAAAGCAGTTATTAGAAATTGTAATAATATTTCACAGTATGACCGTATTTACTGTATTTGTAATCAAATAAATTCAGCCTTGGTGAGCAGAAGAGACTAGGAAACTTTGATAAATCATACAGACTCTAAACTTTTGAGTGGCACAAGCAGTGTGACTATTAGAATGCTTCAGGGATCATTCTGTGGGCTGGTTTTGTTTCATTTGTTTGCAGCTACTGTGGTATCCATGATCCAGCATGTGTGGTCTATTGCAACACCAGCAAGAAATGGTTCTGCAACGGCCGCGGTAACACCTCTGGCAGGTGAGTCCACCAAGTTTGTGTTGATAAATTCAAACTACTGTGTTGTTAAGACGTAAAAGCTGATGATTTTCGTCACGTTTGTTCTCTCAGTCATATTGTGAACCACTTGGTGAGGGCCAAATGTAAGGAGGTGACGCTGCATAAGGACGGACCGCTGGGAGAGACGGTTCTGGAGTGCTATAACTGCGGCTGCCGTAATGTCTTCCTACTCGGCTTCATCCCGGCTAAAGCCGACTCTGTTGTGGTGCTTCTCTGCAGGTCAAATTCATCATCTCATTTGCAAACCATTTCATTCTGATTCACAAACTCAAATTCTGTAATGATGGAAAAAGTTGATTTTGATTAGGCTGACCCAAATCTAAATCGATGTCTTTTAGGCATCAGTAAATAAAGGGAGATTTAGTCATTGGTTTAAATAATAACAATAAAAATGGCTCTTTGTACCAGCTAGATTTCCTCTTTATGGCTTGTATATGACACAATCTGTATTTACCAGGTTACTTTAAGGCTTTTAAACTTAATATTGAGCTATTGCATGTGTGATGGTACATGCTTACTGAAAATGTGAAATGGGAAAGTCCCTAATGTTACCCGTATTTTCATTTTTACGTAATGAGACTGGGCGTGAAGGTAAGAAGAAACTAGGTTTGTATTTGATGTGCCTCGTGTGCTAGAATAATTGCTTTTAATGTGTTTATAATAGCATGTTTATAAATGAATGTTTTTTATCATTTTAAAAATATTTTATTTTCCTAAAATGTATTAAATATTCTTATATAATTTCGATAAATAGTTTGTATTAATAAATACATAAATAAAAACAATGCACAAAATTCTTTTCCATTTTTTTTCTCCTGAGATTGCCCCTCATGTTGACTGGATGAGTTTTAATTTGTTTAATTTGAGCATTCATGGATGTACAAACATATACCATATTTAAATTTACATATAGTACTCAATGCAATCATAAAGTATATTTTGCAATTTAAATGTTAAATGTGTTTTTTTTTTCTTTTACAAAATTTTTTAAAATATTAAATAAATTAAATTAAATGAAAATAAAGGTAGAAGTAGGATCTATGTACATCCAGGGAGAGAACTTGTGGCCTAATTAAACTCTATTATTTCTATTATAACTCTATAAATTCCATTCAATTTCAAGTCATTAAAAGCCATTATTTTATATATTAATCTCCTTCTATTTACATACATATTTACATGATACAAATTCAACCCATTTCCTCCATTTTTCCAGGAGACAATGATTTTTAAAAATGTTTTTGTAATATTTTATTTTAAATGTTTTGTGTACATTTAATCAAGCAGTGAAGGCACAACAGTCAATTTTTTTTATCAGAAGCTGTCAACCATCGCTTATCAAGCATGTGCACTCCCTCCGTCTCATGGGTGTGTGTTTGTGTGTTTAGGCAGCCATGTGCCAGTCAGAGCAGTCTGAAGGACATTAATTGGGACAGCTCTCAGTGGCAGCCCCTCATCCAGGACCGCTGCTTCCTGTCCTGGCTCGTGAAGATCCCGTCCGAGCAGGAGCAACTGAGGGCCCGTCAGATCACGGCACAGCAGATCAATAAACTCGAGGAGCTCTGGAAGGTACCGTGATGTACATCTTTCATATGAATACAAACGCAGTTTTGAGCATCCTATTGTTGTATGACTCTACGTTCTATTGTGCTTGCAGGAAAACCCAACAGCGACCCTGGAAGATTTGGAGAAACCTGGAGTGGATGAGGAACCTCAGCATGTTCTGCTACGCTACGAAGATGCCTATCAGTACCAGAACATCTTTGGGCCGCTGGTCAAACTAGAGGCCGACTATGACAAGAAACTCAAAGAGTCCCAAGTATGAAAACCTTTTTGCTCTTCAGCACTTCCCATGGTTAAACTAGTGAAAAATGATGCGTTAGTACTGATATGCTGATGAAGACTGTTAGTAATATTTTTTTTTTGGTTATCTTCCTACTTGAACTATGGACTGCAACAGTGGCCACCCACTTTTTCAAAAGTGAAAGTACTTTTCCCATTCAGTTTCTTCATAGGCAAATTCAATAAATAGTTCAGCCATGAACCAGACCAACCAGCTCTGGAATAAATCTCAGCATTCAACATTTGATTCAGATCAGCTGCAACCAATTACATCTGGTGTAACATCTGTTATGAGGAAATGAGCTACTGTGAAATCCATAATAGTGCTGCAATATAGAACTATTGCCAAGTATATGATGTGATGTATTGAAGGTTTATTACAAACTATTCAAATATATACAATGGTATAAATCGTTTAAGATTGTAAGGACACTGATTCAGTTATTCACAATGCTTCATGGGATTGTGTGGTCACTGTTAGAACAGATTTATGTTTCTATGGTAGCAGCCCTGATAGTGATTATCTGGTAAGGATTTTCGCCAGGAATTTGACAATTAAACATGATTTCATAAATATAAAGCTCAAATCACACTGACTTCTAGCTAGTACAGAAGCAAGTATTATCACTTTACATTTCAGTTCATAGGTCTTGTCTAAAAACATTATACATTATTGCATATTATTGCAAAAAATCTCAAAGTTGAGAAAATGGATGGGAGTTTTATTTCTGGAATATGACTGTTGCACTTTTTTGCCAGCAAAAAAAGATTTTTTCATTTTAAAGTTCATTATAGGGCTGCATGACTTAATTATAGTGCAATTAATTTATCAGATATTGTGATTGCAAATTGAACTGTGATATAGTTTTCATATGGGATATCTTGTGTGTCTAAAAGTATATTTATAAATTATATTGTGATTCCATTTTTATTTCCATTAATTGTGCAGCCACATTGTTTTAGTATAATTTTAAATTCTATTTAATCAATTTAATTAGATGGGCGTTCACATGTGTTTGTGTTGATCTTTTCTTGTACCTGAGATTCTTTTCTCTTAGAGAGGTTGTTTATAATTGCAAAGTCCAAATACAGAATCAGATTTAATATGTGTCAGACTGCGAATGTTAAAACATTTAATATTTATTCTGCTTGCTTGTCTCCTGTCTTTTTACTTCAGACTCAAGACAATATTACAGTGAGGTGGGATTTGGGACTGAATAAAAAGCGGATAGCTTATTTCACTCTGCCCAAGACGGATTCAGGTGGTAATATTTACTTTCAACATCTTCTGTGTCTACCAGTGGTTCATATCCATCCCATCCCTAACACCGTGTCCCATGCATCCCTCATCGATGTGTGCACGGACCTGAGTGTGCGCGCGCGAGTGTGTGTGTGCGCGCATGTGTGTTTGTGGTGCTGTACTGTGTATGTGATGGATATATAGCTCAATTAGTGTTATTCAAACATAAATCCACAGGATGTGTTCTATCTGACATTGTTTTCTCGGTGTGGGTGATGTTTATCAGACATGCGACTGATGCAAGGAGACGAGATCTGTCTGCGCTATAAAGGAGACATGGCTCCGCTGTGGAAAGGAATCGGACACGTCATCAAAGTCCCAGACAGTATCCTTTCAACACTGATCAAACTCGCTGTTGTCACACAATTATTCTCTCTTGATAATGTGCTTAAGCATGCATTGCTCAAACGTAGGATTTATGATTTGATAAGCAAACACCCAGAACACCCTAGCAACTGCATAGCAACATAATTGCAACCTCTGCATACCAAAACTCCATACAACAGACTTGCATCGTGACCGTGAGTTTTGCAAGCACTCTTTATATCAGCAGAATGTCAGTTCCCTGTTCTTACTGTGCTGTTTTGATGTGCGAGTATGTAAGTATCTTACAGGACGCTGTATTATACGGTTTATTCCTTAACTGAGATCCTCTTAGATTATGGAGATGAAATTGCCATCGAGCTGCGCAGCAGTGCTGGTGCTCCTGTGGAGGTGCCACATAACTTTCAGGTGGACTTTGTCTGGAAGTCGACATCTTTTGACCGGTTAGTCCTGCTGTCACTTTTACACTTTTACTAGTCCATTAAACTGTTTCCATTTGCTTTGCTACATTTATACAGGATAATTCACCCAAAAAGTAGTTCGCCCAAAATTTTAAATTGCTTTAATTTATTTAGTTTCATTTATTTATTTATTTATTTTCTTTCATGGATGCAAAAGGAAAATTTTATAAAGAATGTACTGATGTTGTCCATGCAAGAGTCTTTTAGTATTGAGATACTACTTTCCTTTTTATTAACATTCTAAAATAGTATTTATTTGTATATTTTACATATACATTTTAAAGTTTTAGTAAATTTATTGTGTATTTTTGTAATTTTTATAATTTTTTTTGTATATATCTTTGTAGTTTTTATTCATTTTTGAGTTTTAGAAATTTCAGTACATCAAGTTAAACTAAATAAAAATGAGAAATGTTGCCTTGTCAACTAGCTGAAATAAAATTTATTTTAAAATATTTTATTTATATTTTATTCATCCAAAAAATGAAAATTGGTTTTATTTACTTGCCTTCATGTTAATCCAAACTTTTTTTTTTTCTTTTGTGGACTGAATAAAATTATGACGAATATACTGGTTTTATCCATGCCACAGTGTTGATACTTTTTGTTTTATGAATATTTTAAATTAATATTTATTTATATATTTTCCATTTTAGGTGTATTATTTATTTAAAAAAATTAGTTGTTTTTTGTGTTTTTGTAATTTTGTATTATTTTTATTTACATGTCCATGTGTTTTTTTTTTTATTATTATTTATTTTATTTTTAGTTATTTAGTACATCAAGATAAAGGAAATAAAAAGTATTAATTTGTTGCCTTGGCAATAAGGGCTGAGTATCCAGTTCGGTACTTTTTAGGCACCAACCGAATTGCCGCGATACCATCGAGTATCGAAAAAATTCTCATCGTTCAGTACCAAATTTCTCATCTCATCAACGTCAGTGAGCCAATAAGCCTGCAGCACTAGTGTTCAACTAAAAGTGGCGCGGCGTGGCGCAGATCGATCAGTGTTTAACATCCGCAAGAGCGATTCGAACGCGTACGGAGCAGTCTGCTCTCTATAGCTCTCGTGGTACTGTAATACACCGATCGGTCTGCACAGTCGGTCCGCGTCAAGTCGAACACACCTACTACTGTAGTTAACACCGGTTACACTCTCAGAGATACTCTCACACGTGAGGCTGTAGTGTGAATTCGTCCCAGCCCCCTTAGATGTAAGGCTATATTTACACTAGTACGTTTTTGTTTTAAAATGAAAACGATCCTCGTCATACTGGCGTTTCCACTGCGTTTCAAGCTGGCTTTCCACCGTCTCCGACAAACGACAGACCCGGAAGTCATTCATTTCCAATGGAGAGTAGTGCGGGAGCTGCGTGGAGCTCCGATCATATGCTGAAGTCCGTTCATACTACATGACCGAAAGTGCGTATTACGTGACCATTCATGCACACATGCTATATAAGACAATAAATAAGGATTTATATTCCACTTTTACTCAAAACTCACTTTAAACCACCATTGAGTGTTTTAATAACTTCTGATTGCCATCTAATGTGTGTTTTGGCTATGTAATGTTGCTGAAATATGACTCAGAACAGCGATCGTGGAAGAGAACACAGACAAACAACGCTGGAAGCTGCTAATGCTCATCAGTAAATCAGTGGAAAATAAATAGAAATGATGATTCTGTCTGAGCTATGCGTTTTAAAACGAACACGTACTAGTGTAAATGCACCTATCACAGATGTGTAAACTGAAGACTATTTCATCTTTATTAAAACTATTTGCACTGATTTATTGTGTTGGTTACATTTGAATCCTTTGTGCAGTGGCTCAGGAGATGAGTCTTTGAGTCTGTATAAACATCAACAAGCTGAAAAATAAAAACAATATATTTTTTAGATAATGAGATTTTGTTAAAATAGATTTCATAAATTAGTATTCGAAAAAGTATTGTTCAGGAACCGGTATCGAATTCAAGGTATCGATATCGAAAATGTTTGAACAATACCCAGCCCTACTTAGCAACTAGCTGAAATAAATACATTTTTACAAATATTTTATTTCAGTTAACACTTTATTTCAAGTAACAGAATTTTTTTTTGAATTGTTTTAGTTTAGTATTATTTATAATAATTAGCGATGCAATTACAATCAATGGAGACTGGAGCTTTCTGAGTCCAAAACGATTTTACTAGATCATCAATGATTGCATAATAAACTACTTAAATTTTTCACATAAAGCTATCATAAGACTTCTCAGGGCATATCATGCAGAATCCTCCTGTGATACTTCTATTGGTCTTTTGCGTTTTTACATTTTTTTAGACAACATTTTAAGTTTAAAAGCTCCAGTCCTGATTATTTGTAATTGTATGGAAAAAAAAAACACCTTTGTGTTGCAATTATAATTTTCTGATTAATTATTACTTAAAATAGTCTAATGATCTGTGAACCTGTTTTTGTTTGTCTTATGTAGAATGCAGAGCGCCTTGAAGACGTTTGCCGTGGATGAGACCTCTGTGTCCGGCTACATCTACCACAAGCTGCTGGGTCATGAGGTGGAGGACGTTATCATCAAATGCCAGCTGCCCAAACGCTTCACTGCACAGGGCCTGCCAGACCTCAACCACTCGCAGGTACAGAGCTGTCTGAAGCCCCCGTCCTCTGATTCAGCCCTTCGTCTTCAAGTTTCTGAAACTCAAGTTGTTTTGGCATGATGTAGGTTTATGCTGTGAAGACGGTGCTGCAGCGACCTCTCAGTCTGATCCAGGGGCCTCCAGGAACCGGAAAGACTGTCACCTCTGCCACCATCGTCTACCATCTGGCCAGACAGGGCAATGGGTGAGACACGTTCATGACTTTGTTAGGCTGAACACCTCACTGAATTTACCATGCATTATACTATTTCAACTGGAAATGGAGTTCATTCATTTAGTTAAAAGGATACTATATTGACTATTTAATCTCATATAATTTTATAAATATCTGATATTTGTAATATTAGGGTCCTATGATTTCCACATTGTGGAAAACGCAGATGGAATAGCATAATCCAGTCATAAACATGGAATTTAGGAATAACGAAAAATGTCTGGGAATTTGGCATATTTTAATTGAATAAATCGAAAGTAGAGCTGTACACTTCAAATAAAATTTGTCTGTGAAATATTAAATCATAAAAAGACTATTTAAATATGAAGTGATGTTTATGGTAAAAATTAGGTTGAAGAAATTGACATATATTATTATTGTACAGTAGAATACCTTTCAAAGAGTAATAATAATAAATGTAATACTTTATTTTTTACAGTCTATCTTCCATGTTTTAATTTTTATTTGCTTAGATGTTATAAGGTTAGGTTTTATGCCTTTGTTTGATTACCAATGTTTTTGATAATAAATCTGAATTAAATCATAAATAAAAACAAATGCACAACATTTTTTTTATTGTAAACATTTTATTTGTTAAAATAAAACTGAATTTGGAGAAAAATAAAACTGATTTCGTAAGGCCAAAAAATTAAATTTTTATTAAACTTTTAATAAATTGCTGTAAAATTGTATACATTTCACGATTTCAGTAATTATGTATGCTTTTTGATTTACAAAATTTAATTTTACTTTTAAAACGGATCCAGAATCCGTTTTATGCCGAAAAATTAGAAAGGAAATAAAAGAATCTAGAAAATTGTAAACAGAAAAAGGAAATTTGGGGAAAATAGGGCCGAATAATAACTGAGTTTTTGTGTCCATCTGATGGTTTAGTCCGGTGCTGGTTTGTGCTCCGAGTAACATCGCAGTGGATCAGCTGACAGAGAAGATCCATCAGACGGGGCTGAAGGTGGTTCGTCTGTGCGCTAAGAGTCGTGAGGCCATAGATTCACCTGTGTCTTTCTTGGCTCTGCACAATCAGATCCGCAACATGGACAGGTACGGACATTTCAGTTCTTAATGCGTTACTTAAAAATGCACTATTTGATCTCTATGTGTTTGTGCAATGAATGCTTTGATTTGAATGCTTGGCAGTGGGGCAGAGATCTTATGAGGACTGATGTGTGTCTGTCCTTTTTGCAGCATGCCAGAGTTGCAGAAACTGCAGCAGCTGAAGGACGAAACTGGCGAGCTGTCGTCTTCTGATGAGAAACGTTACCGAGCTCTCAAACGAACCGCTGAGAGAGAGCTGCTCATGGTACCTGTCTGACTTCACGATAGACACTAAATGCTGGAATATTACACACCCAAATGAAACTTTTCTAGAGTCTGAAGTTGAGTTTTCAGTGTGTTTATTTACGCTGCAGGTGGTGGAGCACAATAATGCTTAAGCCGTTTTCTTTGGCACAGGAAATCGGGCGTTTTTGTGTGGTACGTTTTTCTATTAAAAAAAAAAAAAAAAACATCTCATGTTCTCTGCCTCTCAGAATGCAGATGTGATCTGCTGCACATGCGTGGGTGCGGGTGACCCTCGCCTGGCTAAAATGCAGTTTCGCTCCATCCTTATTGATGAGAGCACACAGGCCACGGAGCCCGAGTGCATGGTGCCAGTGGTGCTCGGGGCCAAACAGGTATGTGACAGGACACACTCTCCTTCATCTGATGTTTATTAATCTGTAACCAATTTGCACATTGTGTATGTTAGCACACAGACCTTGCATAATTTAAATATACTGTGTTTTCTGGAAAACAAGTTGCACCTGAATATAAGTCACACCCGGTCAAAATTGCATTGTTGAGAGAAGAAACAGACAAGTCGCATTTTATTATTACATTCAGAAATAATGCAAAATACTGGTAAATAAAACCAAATGTGTTTTAGTTTCACTCACTTCACAAAGAATCCTTCACATTTAATCAGGTGAATTTACCTGAAATAAGATATTAACATTAAAAAAAAAGACAAAACAAAATTAATACATTTTTAACTGCAATTAAATCTGAAACACAAAATGTAAAAAAAAAAATCTAAATATTAATAAAAACTATAATAGTATCTAACATTGCTTTTAATGCTATCCAGAGCAAGAATGAAAAAAATAAGTATAAAAAGTTGAATGTGAGAAGAGATAAAAACTGAAACCTAAGAGAAACCAAAATGCAGACCAGATTGTTGTAAAAATGCAGACCAGTCATTCCTAATTTGCCAACAACTGACTCCTATATTTACCTTGTATTGACTTATATTTATGACAGATATTTACTAAGTTTGAAAAACAATGATCATTGATGATTTCTGTTATTTTTAACAAGTAAAAATATATCTAAACTACAGTATTTTTCTACTTTACCACTTTAAATTAAAGGGGTCATATGATGCGATTTCAAGTTTTCCTTTAGAGAGTAAAAGTGAACGAAAGGAGGAAAATAAATGATTCTGTAAATATTAAGTTAATTTCAATTTGAAATTCGCTTTGGAATATTTTGGAATACAAGTCGCAGCACATTTCAAATGATAAAAAAAGTGACTTGTGTTCCAGAAAATACGGTATTTAAATTTGTGTGTATATTCTTCCATGTAACTAAATTTTCTGTTTAGTAACTGTACTGTCTTCTCCCTCTGATAGCTGATTCTGGTGGGTGACCACTGTCAGCTGGGTCCTGTGGTCATGTGCAAGAAGGCGGCTAAAGCAGGTCTGTCTCAGTCTCTGTTTGAGAGGCTGGTGGTCCTGGGCATCAGACCCATCCGTCTGCAGGTGCAGTACCGCATGCACCCGGCCCTCAGCGCTTTCCCTTCAAATATCTTCTACGAGGGCTCTCTGCAGAACGGCGTCACCGCTGGTACGGCATCTCAAGTTATTTTTTGTTTGTAATAAAATTCACTTGGGTTGATATTAGATTAAAGGGATCATGAACTGTCTTTTTTATTATTTTGTACTGTTCTTTGAGGTCCACTTATAATGTCATCAAGATTTTTACTTCATAATTCAAAAGTAATAGGCTATTTTCTGTCCTGTTTTGACCCTCTCTCATCTGATCGCTCTGTTTGAATAGGTGTGGTGGATTGTAGACTCGGAAGTAAACGTTCACTGCTGTGATTGGCTAACAGTTGTGTGTGTTTGACAGCTACATCCTTCACAGATGAGCGCTGTTGTGATTTAGGTTAAAACGCATAAATACTCAGTTCAAATCAAACGATCTGTAATAACAGACAAAGCAATAGTGAGCACATAATAAAAGCAGTTCTTCACACTCGTGTGGTGCGACATTATTGTCAGATCCAATATAGACGCACAGCATCGTCTTTTAGTTTTAATCTTTCTGAAAATCCGTCGTCGAATTGTGCCTTGTTTATAAAATGAATCCACAGCAAAATGAAGTGAACAAACGACCAAGTTCTTACTGACGCGGTCTGGATCTTCCTTAAAAGTTCATCCACGTTTTCCTAATGTTGGGATCAGAAGGAAGGCGATGCAGAGACTGTGTTTTTTCACATCTTGGCATTGAAGAGCGTCTTGTTTTCTTCGGAGCATCTTTATCGTTTGGTTTCTGTGTAGATTTGCGTTAGCTGCTGTCGTTATTTACACTACATGTGCGAATCGTTGGGCGGAGCTAAACAGACAGCGATGTAGAATCGGTGGGCGGAGCTAAACAGGAAGTGATGTAGAAGCAGGCGTTGATCATCTTCTGCGGAGGTGGAGTTTAGCCACACTATTACGTCATAGAGCGGCACATTCCACAAGCAGACTGGCTTCAATATAAGCTGTTTTTAGACTAAAGAGAAAGTTCTGAAACTTACAGGATGTTTATAGTACAATGACCTTTTATATGTCAAAAGATCAAGGGAATTTTGATTTCTCAGTTTATGACCTTTAAAGGGATAGTTCACCCAAAAATGAAAAATTACCACATTATTTACTCACCCTCAAGCCATCCTAGGTGTATATGACTTTCTTCTTTCAGATGAATCCAATCAGAGTTATATTAAAAATGTCCTGGCTCTTCCAAGCTTTATAATGGCGGTGAATGGGGATCCACTCTCTTGTGATCGCACGTACAACAGTTAGCGAAAGCTAGAGATTACAGTATATAAAGTTGTAAATATGGATATTTTTCTTACACAAACGCATCGCTTCACTTCAGAAGACCTTTATTCAACCCCCAGAGCTGTGTGGAGCACTTTTTATGATGGATGGATGCAGTTTATTTTGCTTCAAAATCTCAACACCCATTCACTGCCATTATAAAGCTTGGAAGAGCAGGACATTTTTTATATGACTCCGATGGTATTCGTCTGAAAGAAGAAAGTCATATACACCTAGGATGGCTTGAAGGTGAGAAAATCATGGGGTAATTTTCATTTTTGGGTGAACTATCCCTTTAAGTTCAGTTTAGATAGATTTGTTTTGTTATATAGAGACAGGAAATATCTGTGTGCCACATTGATGATGTTCTGTTGTTCTCCAGCTGATCGCATCAAGAAAGGCTTTGACTTTCAGTGGCCTCAGCCTGATAAGCCCATGTTTTTCTACGTGACCCAGGGCCAGGAGGAGATTGCGAGTTCTGGCACCTCCTATCTCAACAGGTAGATTTGAACATGATACCCCACTCTCAACACAAATATCAGATGCATATTGCACACAAAATGCTTTCTCAGAACAGCAAGACTTAATCTGATAGGCTGGCTTTGTGCTGTTTCGGGGAGTCAGATCTAGACTATTCATTAGTCAGATGTATCACATGGAATATTTGAAAGAAATTACATATTTAATTAGTAAAAAAAAAAAGTATATTCATGTATATATTAGTGGTTATATAGGATTTTAGATTTATGCCTCTAAACATCACATAAAACAACCTGTTACCATCAAAATGGCATTTCTTCGTTCCTGAGAGGTAATTATCAACCACAGTCTTTACAACTTTATAAGTAATTTTCAGCCTCAGTAAAGAACACCATGACATTAAAGTAATTCTGCTTGAAGTCAGAGATGCTACTGACTGATATTACAGACCAACATTTAAATCTCTTAATGGAACAAAACCGAAAACATTGAAATATCTTAATAGAACAAAACAGACCAGCATTTAAATCTCTTAATTGCCTTAAAGTGTTCAGTCATATACCCAAGTCACTGCGGCACTGGTATGTGTGCTAGACAACATTATAAATATAATATAGCTAGATCTAGATCCGGAGACTTATTGAAATCATTGTTTTATATTATCATATCACCCATCTCAAAAGCTTGCTCTATGCTAAAGCACTAAGGCATTATAGACATAACAGCATGACTTTCTGTAAAGCTGCTTTGAAATGGTGTGTATCGTGAAACGCGCTGTACAAATAAATTTTACTTTTTTATATATATATTTGTTAATATGTCGATCATCTGGCCTCTTCCTGTGTAAGTGGTCGTCTCTCGGCCAGAATCCAATACGAAGCAGAACAGATTTTATGCCAATAGTCAAAAGTCTGGAATAACCGAGACCTTTGAAAACTCATAAGCTCATTCATAAATGCTCCTTACCAGCGTTAGATGAAGCTCATTCAAAGGGCCGGTCTGATAAAATCATCTCTCTTTGTTCAGGACTGAGGCTGCTAATGTGGAGAAGATCACCACCCGTCTGCTGAAGGCCGGAGCCAAACCTGACCAGATCGGCATAATTACACCATACGAGGGCCAGCGCTCTTACCTGGTGCAGTACATGCAGTTCAGCGGCTCACTGCACACCAAACTATACCAGGTACAGAGTCCAAACAGCACCTACAGACTGATTTCAGCCATTCTGTTACATACATTTACTCTAGACCCTCACTGTGGCAATTTAGGGTGTCAAGAAAAGCGCATTTTGTTGTAAGATCATTACTGCTGTAATACTGGCTCTTTTTAATGGCTGTTTGACATCCAGCCTCAGGCAGCAGCATGTCGGTGATGTATTGATGCCTGTGTGTGTCTACAGGAGGTGGAGATCGCCAGCGTGGATGCGTTCCAGGGCAGAGAGAAGGACTTCATCATCCTGTCTTGTGTCAGAGCTAACGAGCACCAGGGCATCGGCTTCCTGAACGACCCGCGTCGTCTCAATGTGGCGCTAACCAGAGCCAGGTAACAAAAGCAGACTCCTAGAGAGAGTGGCGATTTATTACACTACAATTTCCATTCAGAATCATTCAAGAGTCTGTATGCAGTGCAAAGATGCATCTGAAGGAACATGTTTTTTTAGGAATAAGTCACAATAAATTGAATTTATTGCCCTGGAATGTCACATAATTTGGCTTAATCAAATCGCAGACTAGTGTTTGTGAATATTAAACCAGAAAGAGACTGCTGTTTAACATGAAGTCTGTGTGTTTTCCGTGTTTCCGTTTCATCTACTGCTCATACAAGTGTGTGACGCATTAGTGGTGTTTTCAGTGTCTGTCGTCTCACTATATGAGGTCTTGAACACAAACTTCATCCCTAGAGCTGCTCTGAGAGTCACTTTAACAGCTTTTCACCATTTCATTTGAGAAAACTATCATCAGATACACACAGAAACTCAAAGCTGTTCACTACAACCCACCAAAATAAAAGTTTGGTTCGAAGAAATTATGACAATTATATTACTTAATTTTTGTAGAGTATATGTTCTTCTTAAAGTAATAATAATAATAAATAATGTATTTTATGTTTTTTTAAGTATTTTACATCCATGTTTTAATTTAAATCGTAAACCTCTGATGGTTCAGCACTGTCAAAAAATAAAAGGAACTGTTAAATTTTCACTTGATTACATTTTTAAAAGTTTAACTATTTAAATTAAATTTGATTGCCACTGTTTTTGATAATAAATTTGTAATCGATCATAAAACACAGAATCCAGAAAAAGTAAAATAGACAACACAGAATTTCTGAATAAATAAAACATATTTCATAGGGCAATAGTATTGCTCATTTTAAATAAATTCTGAATTTGATAGATTAGACATGCTTTTTGATTATTAAAATGTATTTAAACCATTAAACTGGAATCCAGAAAAAAATAAATAATAATTGTCTATGTATATTGTGTGTGTTATGTATTTATGTATATTTTATGCATTTTTGAAAAAATAAAAACTGATTTACAATGTTTTCCTTCAAGGAAAATGTGTGTATAAATGACAAATGTAGGTGTATTGCTCTAGTTATGTGCTCAAATGTGTGTGTGTGTGTGCAGATATGGCGTGATCATTGTGGGCAATCCTAAGGCTCTGTCCAAGCAGCCTCTGTGGAACCACCTGCTGAACTACTACAAGGAGCAGAAGGTTCTGGTGGAGGGACCGCTGAACAACCTGAGGGAGAGCCTCATGCAGTTCAGCAAACCACGCAAGCTGGTCAACACCATCAACCCTGTGAGTAACACACACACAATCACATGTCAGGATTTCTTCAGTCTTTTCATGCTGATTCACATGCACGGCTGTACATGCATGCAAAGCTGCTTAATTACAATTGCATTTAATAATAAGCAATTGCAATATGCATTATTAGTGCTTCTGTATTAGTGCTTTCGTATGCATCTGTAACATTACATTACAAGGTAACAAAGAAATTTCAAATAAGGAAACAAAATATAAAGAAAATAATCAAACATAAGTTGCAAAATGCTTCTCCTAATAGTGTAAATGTGTGTTTCAGGGAGCCCGTTTCATGAGTACCGCCATGTATGATGCGAGAGAGGCCATGATTCCTGGATCTGTGTATGATCGCAGCGGCACTGGTGAGAAAACAATCACATACCATTGCTCATGTCTCACTGCAGTTGCAATTAATTAGTTCTAATTTATTTTCTTACTCGCAATTAAATTCATATTTGTGACCCTGGACCACAAAACCAGTCATAAGGGTCAATTTTTCAAAATTGAGATTTATACATCTGAAAGCTGAATACATAAGCTTTCCATTGATGTATGGTTTGTTAGGATCGGACAATATTTGGCTGAGATACAACTATTTGAAAATCTGGAATCTGAGGGTGCAAAAAAAATCTAAATATTGAGAAAATTGCCTTTAAAGTTGTTCAAATGAAGTTCTTAGCAATGCATATTACTAATCAAAAATTAAGTTTTGATATATTTACGATAGGAAATCATTTTGACCCATACAATGTATTGTTGGCTATTGCTACAAATATACCCCAGCGACTCAAGACTGCTTTTGTGATTCACATTTGGTTCTTATTTTTCTTGTTGATCAACGTATAAACTAATTTAATTGGTTAGTTTAAGCATCAACCAGATGAATCCAGTGTTATTCTGTTATCGTTAACTAAAACTAAAACCATAACAAATGTGTTAATTGAAATAAAATATAGTAAACTTAAACTTGTTTTAAACTTAATATCTAAAACTGAAAAAAAAAAAAAAAGAATATAAATTAATTAAAAAAACAAAGATTTAAACAAAAACGAATAAAAATGACAAAACACAAAATAATATAAACACAAAATTTACTATAAAAGTACATATAAAGATAAAAATTATATAATTGTATTTTAGAAACAAATGATAAAATAAATAAAAAAAATTAAAAAAACGTATAACATCCCATTCAAAATAGTATATCAATGATAATAAAATAGCACTGTTATTTCTTGATGAACCCGCTTTTGAGATGCTTATTTGTGAAAAATATATATGTAATTTGTCACTTTTTGTTTGTCTTTACAGGACGTCCATCTAATATGTACTTCCAGACTCATGACCAGGTCGGCATGATCGGGACTGGGCCGAACCCAATGGGCTCCATGAACATCCCCATCCCGTTCAATCTGGTCATGCCGCCCATGCCTCCGCCTGGGTACCTGGGCCAGGTGAACGGACCTGCTGCCGGTGAGAGAAAATCCCAAATCACTCAATTAAGACTGCTTTTGAACAAGAAACCTTGACTAACATTAGAAGTGAACTCTATATGGCCCCTTTAACTCTTTCCCCCACCATTGATGAGTTATCTCGTCTTTTACAAGAAAACACTTCCCCACCAAATAAGTTTTTTTTTACGGCTTTCTGTGTTTTCACTGTTATACACTCTGGGGCGCTAGTACGCATCTTCTGAACGAGTACAAAACCTCCCGAACAAAAACACACTTGAACAGGACAGAGAAACTAGCTATCTCTTATGTAAACAGATACATATGAAAAATAATGCGATCAACAGCAATAGACAGCAAATAAATGAAAACTGTCAAATGTTGATCCAGGAAGTGATGTCTGTGCAAGCTTTGGAGGTGTTGATGGAAGCAATTTACTGGATTTATGCTTTGATAATCGTACTGAATATTATCCAGATGTAGTTTTTAAAGGGGTCATATGAGGAGATTTCAATTTTTCCTTTCTCTTTGGAGTGTTACAAGCTCTTGGTGCATAAAGAAGATCTGTAAAGTTGCAAAGACTAAAGTCTCAAATCCAAAGAGATATTCTTTATAAAAGTTAAGAGTCAGCCACGCCTACCTAAAACGGCTCGTTCTAACATGCCCCCACATATCTACCTCACTATGTGGGAAGATTTGCATAACGCCGCCCAAATGTTCACACAAAGAAAGAAGGCGTAACTTTTATTCTGGCTGTAGTATTGTTGCTGCCGCCATGTTGTTAATGCGCTGTGTGATTCGCTGTGTAATTCGTTGTGAAACACAATATTCAAGTGTTGATAAAAATAGAATGATTTAAGCTAGAATAATTTTGTTTAAAAGTAGAGGCTCTGATCTTTATTTTGGTGTATTGCATATTCAAATATTCATACAGCAAAATATACTGGAGGCCATCAAATTTGAGTGAAAATCATCAAAATCGCTGGCGGTGGCTGGCAACTTTTTTCAAAAATGCTGGCGGGGTTAATGATATTAGCTACTTTTGAAGAGCCAGAGAAAGAAGCTGAAGATGGAGTGACAAGAGGTGAAGCAGAACGCAATCAGGAATACAATATTAATCAGTTCTCTCTCTCTGTTTACAGGTCGTGGTGCTCCTAAAGGTAAGACCGGGGGTCGCGGAGGTCGTCAGAGGAACCGTGGCACTGGTAACCACGGCAGCGGGCAGCCCAACATGCCAAGCAGCCAGGCCAGTCAGGACCTGGGGTCCCAGCCCTTCTCTCAGGGTCCACTGACCCAGGGCTACATCACCATGAGCCAGCCTTCACAGATGAGCCAGCCTGGACTGTCCCAGCCTGAGCTCTCACAGGTGCACATGCTCACGTTTGTGTGGGATGTTCCCACTTTTATGAGCGCTATAAGCCTCTCGAGTCTGTGTTAAAGTGACCTTGTTTTGTTAATTCTGTAGTTTTAAATTTTGTGTTTGGTCTTTCGTGTGAAACAGGACAGCTACCTGGGTGATGAGTTCAAATCCCAGATGGATGTGGCACTTTCCCAGGATTCCACCTACCAGGGCGAACGGGCATATCAACACGGAGTGACTGGACTCTCACAGTACTAGAGTGTAAGACGACACGCGCATCTTAAAAGACCACACATACACTACCGTTCAAATTTTTGGAGTCAGTAAGACTTCTTGAAAGAATGTAATCTTTACGCATTAAATTGGTCAAAAGTGACTGAAGACATTTATAATGTTACAAAAGATTCTATTTCAAATAAATGCTGTTCTTTTGAACTTTCTATTCATCTGTGAATCCTGAAAAATAAAATGTATCACAGTTTCCACAAAAATATTGTGCAGCACAACATGGGTAATAATCAGAAATGTTTCTTGAGCAGCAAATCAGCATATTAGAATGATTTCTGAAGATCATGTGACTAATGATGCTGAAAATTCAGCTTTGATCACAAAAATCAATTACATTTTAAATGATATTCACATAGAAAACAGTTATTTTAAATTATAAAAATAGTTCACAATATTACTGTTTTTACTGTATTTTTGGTCAAATAAATGCAGCCTTGGTGAGCAGAAGAGACTTCTTTCAAAAACATTTTAAAAATCTTATCAATGCTTAACTTTTTTTGAACAGTAGTGTACATTAATGTGCTCATCTGGTTAGTGTAATTGATGCCTAATATGGCCTAGAAACCCAAAATGCATCCTCGAGTTTCAGCTGTGCTATTTCTTATTTTTTGTATACACACACGAATCGCTAAAACTTAAACTAAAACTAATAAATAAAAATGAATAAGTACTACATAGACATGAGAAAAATACAAATAAGTAAAATGATTAAAATAATATTAAATTAAAAATAAGTTAAAACAATAATAAAAAATGAAAGAAAAACAATGAAATTACTAAAATGAACTCAAATTTAATTAAAAACAAAATATAACAATTAATTAAACTAATTAAATTAATAATAAATTAAAACAATAATACAAATAAAAGAAAAACAAAACAAAATGACTAAAACCTGAACTAAAATTAAATTGAAAACACAAGTTTTAAAAATAAAATCTAAAAAACGATCTCTGTCCTCTTCTCCGTGGAGCCCATTTTTAAAACCTGATGCTTTTTTGTTCATTTTAAAAACAGTAGCTAATTATGTTTACAGTAACGGCTTTGTGTGTGTGTGTGTGTGTGTGTGTGTGTGTGTGTGTTTGTGTGTTTTTTTTTTTTTTTTTTTAATTCAGTTCCAATTTGCTTTTTTTCCCCCCCTAGCTATTTATGAATGGAAAAACACCTCATGTGTGTAAGTCCCCCATTGCTAACACTGTCGATTTTTTCTGTCTGTGTTCGCAGGTTGTTGGAACAGGAGCTAGGCCTGTGCTGAGCTTAGTTCATCAGCATTTTAAATATGGGTAAATATAAAAAAAGAACAAACATGGATGCCCGTTTACCACTGTTACAACTGAAGCACCATGGTGTGAGAGCAACAGGAGAGAATCAAACCAATCACAGGAGGGAGTGAAGCTGGACAGGACGAAAGAGAACATGTGAGTGGCGGACTACATCCACCATTCGTTGAGGACGGGGAGGAGAGGGGAGACGCAGTGTTAGGAGGAGACCAAACACGAGATCTTCGATCTGCAACTCCGCAACGTGGAGGAGGCTCCTGGAGCGCAGGGGCCCTTCCCAGCCTCCTCTCTCTCTCGCCTGGCTGCCGACGTCAGCCTCAGGCCTTGCCCTGCCAACAGAGACGGAGCCAAGATGAAGTTCTCTTAAAACTACCTGCAAAAACCACGCTTGCTCTGTCGTCTCCACGAGCTGAGAGAGGGGGTGACGTATTTCAAGTAATTATAAACGCTTTCCAAGCAGCTGAATTTCGGGAAAATAAGAGTTCCCCTCAAAGTTGACATCTGACATTCAGGTTGTACCACCGCACATCTTTGAGAGAACGGACGCCTTTGGCACGAGTTTTCGCGGTTTGTTTCATTCGCTTCGGAGCGCCTCTCGTCTCCAACCAAGGTGCTAGGACACTCTGAAGGACGATTCAACTTTGAGGAAAGTTTTCTGCCTGAAGTCCGGGAGGGTAGAGGTGCCGTAACAAACGGAAGGCCTGTCGCATCTCGTCTGCTCTCCGCTAGGTGATTAGGGGTAGAAATGGCTTTGGGATGTTTCTTTTTCCTTTTAAATGTTTTGTCCCTTGCCGAAGGGACCGACGGATCTATCCTTTCTTATTTTCCTCTTTGTTTTAAAATGTTTTTTGTTCAACTAGAATAAAAGCAGTCAAGTAGAACCGCTCGATTTAGCTTGCTTGATTTAGATGTGGCTTAAAAATCAATCCAAATCACTAGGATCTGTGGGTCAGGAACGTCGTCAAAATCAGGTGAAACTTGTTCATCTGAATCTTTTCGATTTGGTACGAGACAAAAGTGTCAATCACAGTAGACCCCTCCCACTGCTATTCTGTCCAGTCAGGACGCAGTCATATTGTTGTGCCCTAATCGCTTTAGTTGTTCCTCAGAGAAAGCAGAAGGATGAAGCACAGACAGGTGAGATTCTCGCTGTTTTTGTGTCTGACCGTAAGAGGCTCTCGTCTTACGCTCTTGCGTTATGATGTCAGTGAGAGCGGACGGTTTTTTACGCCGCCAACAGGTGTGTGCGCGTGCGTGTGTGTTTCCAGAATGCCCTCCTTCATTATTATTTGTGTTGTGGTAGATTGTAGTTTTGCATTTCCCCCATTCTAGTTGCTTTTCCCCCCTCTTCTTAGTAGCTCATATTTTTATTTGTATACAGTCTGACGTGAAGTTCTCGTAACCTCTCTCAGTGTGGAAATTGCTCACGTTTATTTGGTTTCGACGGACCCATTCAGAATTTTACGGCAGCTTTTAACATCTGTTCCGACCGATTCCAGTCGCCTCAACTTTGTACTTTTACTTTGGAGTATTTATACCTTGATGTTACTCCATACTCGCAGCCCTTTTGACTGTTTGATATTACCCAAGTACCACCACTCGCATTTTATAGCATCGAGCACAGATTCGTTTTAAGTTCACATCCTTTGCTTTCTCTTTTTTTTTTCTTTGCCCACAAGACAATCATGATTCGTTCATAACCAAGGTCGCAAAAATGTTTGCGTGACTGATATTCAGACTTTTCCATGTTAACCTCTCATTTTAGAATGAACTCATTCTCTGAAAATCCTTGAAACGGTTTAGTTTTCACATTTCATACTTCAACTGTAAATATCAGTGCTCGGATTTGATATGACATCAGCCAAATTGTTGCCAATGACAATGAGATGCTAACATCCACAACAAGGCCAAGGTGATCCACAGCCATGCAATCTGGTAATTATAGAGTATGAAGAGACTAGGTAATTCTGAGGTTCTGCTGCGAAAGTTGCATCAAATTTGAATGAAATGTACAATACCTTTATATGCTTTAACTTGCAATGAAGAGGAACATTGGAAAAACATCAGGATATGAAGTATAATTCAGGATTTTGTTTTGTGGAAAAAGTTTTCACCCCCACAATATGTACTTCTTGTAACGTTATGAATAAATGTTGATTTCTTTCACCCGATGCAGTTCTCAGTTCTTCATTGTCTTGTGTATGATCTATAATGAAGCTTAAATATTGAATATGCATGCCCGTTTCTGCCACAGAATTAAAAAAATAAAATTGCAACTTTTTATCTCGCAATTCTGACTTTTTTTTTTTTTTTTTTTTGGTCAGAATTGCAAGAAAGTCAGCTTTAAGTTTACATATCGCAGTTGTGACTTTTTTTCCCTCTGGATTCTGATTTATATATAGAAATTCCGGGGGGTTTTCCACAGAATTTTAAAAAAAAATGTAATTGTGGCTTTTTATCTCAATTTTATTTATTTGATATTTTTATTTGGGCAATTCTGAGTTTCTATCGTGCCAGAATTGAAAGGAAAAAAATTTGAATTGTGAGATAAAGTCACAGTTACCTATTATTTTCTTATCTTGTGGTGGAAGCTTCCATTGCATATTTAACCTGTTCTATCCTGGATTACAGTAAGGAAGCACACTTCTGGTGATTACTTTTTCACAAACTGATTTCTGTGGTCTCAATTTAGTTGAAGTGAAAATGAGAAAAGGTTTTGCTCAATGCAAATTGCATTAGTCTGTCAGATTTGAGACTTTTGTTATTAATGATGTGCACTAGCCTTAATAATGAAGGAATGTTAAATCCCATAATTAAAGTAAGATCATACTTGCTCTAAAGCTGTCTTTCCCCCCAAAGTAACATTCATTTGTATTAATTGCAGGAACTCCCTGCTGTAATGTGTCATTCTCTGTAGTGATAGAGCAGATCTGATGTGGCGTTTTCATCAATCACACATTAAACCTGTGCTATTCATTTAGCTTTTTTCTAAGTTCACACAAGGTCAGACTTAATTACAGGACATTGAAAATGAATTTGACTTCACTGACAAGCTCTTAATCCATGTTACACCTAATGAAAGGTCCAAATATATATATATATATATATTTTTTTTTTTAATATATTTATGCCTGTCCCTTCACTACAAATAACCTTTATCAAGGATGTTTTTCTGATAAATACTTTTTCTATTATCATAACACCATAGACAGACAGTAAAAATTCTGATTTATGTGTTTAATGAATTTAACATTCTCAAATATATATATATATATACACTGAACAAAATTATAAACGCAACACTTTTGTTTTTGCCCCCATTTTTCATGAGCTGAACTTAAAGATCTAAGACTTTTTCTATGTACACAAAAGGCCTATTTCTCTCAAATATTGTTCACAAACCTGTCTAAATCTGTGTTAGTGAGCACGTCTCCTTTGCCGAGATAATCCATTCACCTCACAGGTGTGGCATATCAAGATGCGGATTAGACAGCATGATTATTGCACAGGTGTGCCTTAGGCTGGACACAATAAAAGGCCACTCTAAAATGTGCGGTTTTACTGTATTGGGGGGTCCGAAAACCAGTCAGTATCTGGTGTGACCACCATTTGCCTCACGCAGTGCAACACATCTCCTTCACATAGAGTTGATCAGGTTGTTGATTGTGGCCTGTGGAATGTTAGTCCACTCTTCTTCAATGGCTGTGCGAAGTTGCTGGATATTGGCAGGAACTGGAACACGCTGTCGTATACGCCGATCCAGAGCATCCCAAACATGCTCAATGGGTGACATGTCCAGTGAGTATACTGGCCATGCAAGATTTGGGATGTTTTCAGCTTCCAGGAATTGTGTACAGATCCTTGCAACATGGGGCCATGCATTATCATGCTGCAACATGAGGTGATGGTCGTGGATGAATGGCACAACAATGGGCCTCAGGAACCTGTCACGGTATCTCTGTGCATTCACAATGCCATCAATAAAATGCACCTGTGTTTGTTGTCCATAACATACGCCTGCCCAAACCATAACCTCACCGCCACCATGGGCCACTCGATCCACAACGTTGACATCAGCAGACCGCTCACCCACACGACGCCATACATGCTGTCTGCTATCTGCCCTGTATTCATCCGTGAAGAGAACACCTCTCTAAAGTGCCAGACGCCATCGAATGTGAGCATTTGCCCACTCAAGTCAGTTACGACGACGAACTGCAGTCGGGTCGAGACCCCGATGAGGACGACGAACATGCAGATGAGCGGTTTCTGACAGTTTGTGCAGAAATTCTTTGGTTATGCAACCGATTGTTGCAGCAGCTGTCCGGTTGGCTGGTTTCAGACGATCTTGCAGGTGAAGATACTGGATGTGGAAGTCTTGGGCTGGTGTGGTTACTGCGGTTGTGAGGCCGGTTGGATGTACTGCCAAATTCTCTGAAACGCCTTTGGAGCTCTGGTGGACATTTCCGCAGTCAGCATGCCAACTGCACGCTCCCTCAAAACTTGCAACATCTGTGGCATTGTGCTGTGTGATAAAACTGCACATTTTAGAGTGGCCTTTTATTGTGGCCAGCCTAAGGCACACCTGTGCAATAATCATGCTGTCTAATCAGCATCTTGATATGCCACACCTGTGAGGTGGATGGATTATCTCGGCAAAGGAGAAGTGCTCACTAACACAGATTTAGACAGATTTGTGAACAATATTTGAGAGAAATAGGCCTTTTGTGTACATAGAAAAAGTCTTAGATCTTTGAGTTCAGCTCATGAAAAATGGGGGCAAAAACAAAAGTGTTGCGTTTATAATTTTGTTCAGTGTATATATACACACACACACACACACACAATAAATATATGCATGTAAAAATGTAGAATCCAGAATGTAGAAGTCATGAAAAAGTTAATTGGACATTGTTATAAAAAATGTGTGTGTGTGTGTGTATCTAACAGTGGCCATATTTTTTAGGCTACTTTTTCATGAATATAACATTCTGTATTCATTTTTACATGCATGTATTTATTTTTTTAACAGTGGCCACATCTTTCAACATATGTGACCAAAATGATATATAAATCATAATATGTCCCAAAAAACCATGGTAACGCTATCGCATTTTGTAAGTGAGGAAGGTTTGTGGCGTCTCATTAGGGTTACATCAGCACAAATGTCTGCGTGATTAACGGATCTTCTCTCTCTGATCACTAGAGGGCGAGAGGCGCCGCAAAGATGCTGCAGCTCCGATTCTGTCCGCCGGGCGGCGCCCGCGAGTCTCTTAAAAAAACCCGCCACCGGCAGCGCTCGAGCACAGAGCGGCGGGACATCAAAGCCAAACTGGTTACAAAGTAACAGTCGCGGCTCGTCATCAAAGTCGCTGCGGGAAGCATTCGAACGCGGAGCGTGACAGCCGGCGGCCTTTCCCGCGAATCCGCGTGCTTGCTGAACTACAACCAAAGACAGACACGCCGGGAAAAGAGGAACTGACCGCGCGCTCGGTCATCACGTCCAGTTTCTGCGGCTGCTGCTGTTGCATTCGCGTGCTGCCATGCACATATATGCCGCATAGAAAGACTCCAGACGCGGATTACACCCTACAGGCTGCGAACAGTTGCTCCAGAACAGGACCAAGAGTTTGACCCCCTGTGTGTTTACAACGACATGGGGTAAGAGTCTCTGCTCTGTCATAGACTCATTTATAGGAACTTAAGAGACTTTAACTGAGCGAATCTGAAGCCAGAAGAACTTACCAGAGCACTTTTAGTTACTGCAGCTATGTTAGATTAAAGACTTCACATGTTATTAACTGTTTATATGTCTCAAAGCAAAGATGTATTTATTTAGGACAGTCTTACGTTAGGAAACAGTGGAGATAGGCATTGTATATTTGTGGATTTGACACAGTATGACATGCTATGATGCATCTAAACAGCATTCTTTAATTGTGTGAAATATTAGCATTATACATGCAGTTTTTTCAGCTCGTATAAAAAAGTGACCTGCGAGAAATCTGCATGGTGACCAGAAGCACACACTTTGCATTTAACATTTACATCTTGGATATGATACTACATTTCTTAATCATTTGTCTTTATCTTTATTTAATTAAATACGAATAAATGCATAAATGCATTTGATTAAATAAAAGCAATTCATATTTAAATGTGATACTTGTTTGCATTATTTTTATTTAGTTATAGAGGTTTAGGTTTTGTTTAATCAGATTATTTCATGATCAAGAAGACAAATAAAACTATTAATTATTTTTTGTTAAGATATTATAATGCATCATTTATTATTAAGATTGTTTGCATGCTTTAAATGGACTGGAATGAGTCCACTAACTTCATCCACGACCTTGACCCAAATATGTTATTAATTTTCTCAATATTTTCAATGTATGTATGAACTATATCTGTTCGGGTGGGTTTATGTTTCATTGTTTTCTTTCTCTCATTTCTAATGGCAGAAAAAGACCCTCATCTGCCCAGTAAGAAGAATGTTTCCATTGCACAGAGAGAGGTAAGTCATGATATAATGTCTTTATCAGATCCTGAGACCCTCAAAGTGTTGTTTTTTTTAAAGGAATAAACCAATATCTAGGCTAGATCCGATTAATTGAACCATTTTGAAAATAACTGCTAAGAATCATTTTTACGGAATCTCCCAGAAGCCCTTATTTTTAATTCATTGTATTATTATTATTATTATTATTATTTTGCATTGTTGCAAAGTAAATATAGTGTAAATGAATTTTAATATTGTAGACTTTTATAATATATGTGTCATTTTGTGTATGTCTCATTATTCGTCATTAAGAGTGTGTATATTAAAACTAAAACAAAAAAATAAACCTTTCTGTACTTAAAATACAAATACACATTAAATAAAATATAAAAAAAACTTTAAACTGATTTAATTTCAGCAACATTTCTCATTTTCATTTAGTTTGACTTGATTTACTAAAATAACTCAAACTAAAACTGAAATAAAAACTGTATAGGAATAAACAAAAACGAATAAAATAAAAGCCAAAAATAAATACAAATTCAAAATATAATAAAAACTAAAATAGCATGTCAGTGATACTAAAATAACACTGATGCACTTCAAGCCAGGTCTTCTTTATTTTTATAGAGCGTTATATAATGCAGATTGTTGTAAAGCAGCACATAGAGAAATGCAATTAAATGCAAAAATCACTTTGTAAAATAGACAAAGCACCTGTTTTTCATGGAATGACCCATTTATATCCTACTCTTAGTGGGACATATATTATGCAGGAATTATGACTGCATAGATAAAGGGAGATTTTTTCTCGTACTGTATTAATCTCTTGGAGAAATGACACCGAACATGAAAAAGGTCATGGGATGTTGTTTATGAAACAGCCAGTATTGTGTTATTTTAGTTGCCCTGACGACTGTACAATGTATGTTCTGCAGTGTCTCAAGTCTCCATCTCAGTTTGCTGGATGCTTTATGGATGATCATAAAGCTGTTTTGACCTTCAGGAGGCCTGTAACGGGTTAAATCAGTAGAGTAGTGATTCTGCAGTTAATTAGTTCAGCGGCGGTAAGGTGTGATGCTGTCGGGTCAGAACACACTTGGCCTAATTTCTTCTTTCTAGCTGGATTGTCCTTCAAACGATCCCACTTTGTTTTAAAGGAACAGTTCACCCAAAAATGAACATTTGATGAAAATGCACTCGCCCTCAGGCCATCCAAGATTAGGATGAGTTTGTTTCTTCATCAGATTTGGAGAAATGCAGCATTGCATCACTTGCTCAGCAATGGATGCTCTGCAGTGAATGGGTGCCGTCAGAGTGAGAGTCCAAACAGCTGATAAAAACATCACAATAATCCACAAGTAATCCACAGCACTCCAGTCCATCAGTTAGTGTCGTGTGAAGCAAAAAGCTGAAACAAATCCATCATTTAGACATTTTTTATTTTAAGTTTAAACTGTTGCTTCCAGCTAAAATACGAGTCCATAATAACACTTCCTCCAGTGAAAAAGTGGTCTGGTCTGAATCAGGAGAGAAATCTGCACAGATCAAGCAGCGTTTACAACAGTCCAAAACAGCTCTAAACAAATATGTGGCTGGATTTTGATGTGAGAGACAACTGAAGATGGACCTTTTCAACTGAATTATGGACTCGTATTTTAGCCAGAAGCTAAGGTTTAAAGATGTCTTGATGGATTTGTTTCATACAAACAGATGTTAGCTGATGGACTGGAGTGCTGTGGATTATTGTGATGTTTTTATCAGCTGTTTGGACTCTCATTCTGACGGCACCCATTCACTGCAGAGCATCCATTGCTGAGACAGTGTAATTTCTCCAAATCTGATTCCATTAAGAAACAAACTCATCTACATCTTGGTTGGCCTGAAAGTGAGGACATTTTCAGGTAATTAACATTTTTGGCTGAACTATTCCTTTAATTTTCAATACATGAAATCATATCTCCATGTTTGGTGGGCACAGGAAAGATTATATGTTGATTTAGTGTCTTTCTGTATATCCTACGTATAGAATAAAGATGCAGCATGAGGTTAATTTCTCGGTAACAATTCCTAGTAATTGCCTCATTACATAAACGAATCTGGAAAAAGGCAATTAGAGCTGAAATGCAAATGGACAGCTTGAGGGTTCAGTGATCTCTAAACACACACACACACTCCAGTGTAGAATATAACCGTGAACAGCTAATGGTCTCTTGGCCGTTGGAGTTGTGTTTAGAGACTTTACTTCTGGTTAACACACATTTATTTTTCTAGTCAGCTGCATTGCTGCGAGGTTAACATGAAATTACATGTAGAACCCATTTGATTGCCGTTATGTGATGTGTTTCCAGGTGAATCAGAATATTTAATGATTCTATCCATCAGGAATTGATGTGATGGTGAAATGTGTTTATACAGTTTAGGGTTGGTTATATTGGTTATTTGTTTGTTTTTGAAAGAAGTATCTTCTGCTCACGAAGGCTGCAGTTATTTGTTCAAAAATACAGTAAAAAACGTAATATTGTGAAATATTATTTCAATTTAAAATAGCTGTTTTCTGTGAGAATATATGTTAAACTGTAATGTATTTCTGTGATGCGCAGCTGTATTTTCAGCATCATTACTCCAGTCTTCAGTGTCACATGATCTTCAGAAATCAGTATAATATGCTGATCTGCTGCTCAAGAAACATTTCTGATTATTATCAATGTTGAAAACAATTGTGCTGCACAATATTTTTGTGGAAACTGTGATACGTTTTATTTTTCAGGATTCTTTGATAATTAGAAAGCTCAAAAGAACAGCATTTATTTGAAATGGAAATCTTTTGCAACTTTATAAATGACTTTACTGTCACTTTTGAGCAATTTAATGCATCCTTGATGAATAAAAGTATTACATTTATTATAAAATGTTACTGACCCCAAACGTTTGAACAGTAGCATAATGTATAACAGTAATGCTCAGGATTCATTAGCACACATTATTCTACAGGAAAATATAGTTGTATGATAGATAATATGAGCAGGAATGTGTCAGAAACTCTGTCTGCAACACGTTCGTCGACACGTTGCAAACTGCATTGATGGATTGCAAATGAATGTCTGAGACGTGTGTGGTCGCTCTGGTGTTTAGCTGGGGTTGATCTGGTGCTCGGTGCAGTTGGTTTCCTGCTGAAAGTCATTAACGGCGGTCGATCTCTCACACTGGATAGTTTACAGGCCCTCGGCTCGTTACTGGGTGCCTCACAATCAGCTCGGGGTGAGAAATTGACAGATGAAGGAGCTGTGCTGATCACAGAAGCCCGATGTCGGGATCTGTGGTGTGTGAAGCCAGGAGACTTACCCCATGGAATTCTGGGAATTCAGGCGAGGCTATAAAAAGAGAAGTGGTGTCTGTAAGACCAGGAGGAGAAAGTGATCTGAACACCTCGAGCTGCTGATCGGAGTATGTGTGTGGTGTGTGTCAAGTCAAGTCACCTTTATTTACAGTGGGTACGGAAAGTATTCAGACCCCCTTAAATTTTTCACTCTTTGTTATATTGCAGCCATTTGCTAAAATCATTTAAGTTAATTTTTTTTCCTCATTAATGTACACACAGCACCCCATATTGACAGAAAAACACAGAATTGTTGACACTGTAGAAGTCCTCTCTAGGTGCTGATCCACCATCGGGTCTGGATACGTACTGGATCCGGGTGACTGCAGTGACCATCTGATCTGGATACCTGACCTCGGAATAAGAGAGAAACAGACTAATATTAGCGTAGATGCCATTCTTCTAACAATGTAGCAAGTACATCGGGTGTTATGAGAAGTGTTCCCGGTTCCGGTTGACCTAATTAATGCAGCCTAAAAATCCTTTGACGGATTTGAATATTAGAAATGTGTTATGTGTAAGCCAGGTTAAAGAGATGGGTCTTTAATCTAGATTTAAACTGCAAGAGTGTGTCTGCCTCCCGAAAAATGTTAGGTAGGTTAAACAGAGTTTAGGCGCTAAATAGGAAAAGGATCTGCCGCCCGCAGTTGATTTTGATATTCTAGGTATTATCAAATTGCTAGAGTTTTGAGAATGCAACGGACGTGGAGGACTATAATGTAACAAGAGCTCGTTCAAATACTGAGGTGCTAAACCATTTACCATTTTAGTGTGTGTGATGTGTGAGAGTGTGAGAGTGAGAGAGTGTGTGTGTGTGTGTGTGTTTTATGGGTTGAGAGATCTGCAGGCATGCAGAAGGATTAGACAGATACTTGAGTGATCTTGCTAAAATTCATCAGCCTCTGCAGTCATTTTCAGACAGTACTTTTTTTTTGTTCAACCATTGTTGCCGAGTGGATTCACATTTACATTTATGAATTTATCAGATGCTTTTATTCAAAATGACTTACAAAACGGGAACAAATGCAATTTGTTAGAGCAGCAATATTCATAATATGCAGTGGCAGGTTCATTAGACAACAAGATAATACGATTTTAATTAAGATTTAGGTTTGTAACTGATTGGCAAACCAGACAATATTTAAATATAATACAATTTGATGATAAAAAAATAAACATTTACTGAACCTACTTCACTATAATTTGAAAACATAAAATTTGCATTATTTATCGAGAAGCTTGTCAGTACTTGTGTTTATTATTGGACAAGTTGATTTTAGTTGTTGAACTGTGAAGTATCTTAAAATCATCACTTTTTAAAACATTACTGTTCAAAAGTTTGGGGTCAGTAAGATCTTTGAAAGGATTTAATATTTTTATTAATCAAGGATGCATTAAATTGATCAAAAATGACAGTAAAGTCATTAATAATGTTACAAAATATTTCTATTTCAAATAAATGCTGTTCTTTTGAATTTTCTATTCATCTGTGAATCCTGAAACATAAAATATATCACAGTTTCCACAAAAATATTGGGCAGCACAACTGTTTTCAACATTGATAATAATCAGAAATGTTTCTTGAGCAGCAAATCAGTATATTATACTGATTTCTGAAGATCATGTGACACTGAAGACTGGAGGAATGATGCTGAAAATACAGCTGCACATCACAGAAATACATTACATTTGAACAGATATTCACATAGAAAACAGTTATTTTAAATTGTAATAATATTTCACAATTTTTACTGCTTATATTGTATTTTAATCAAGTAAATGCAGCCTTGGTGAGCAGAAGATACTTCTTTCAAGAACGTTAAATAATCTTACTGACCCCAATCTTTTGAATAGTTTATATATTTCATTAAAAAAACATTATGTTGGTGAATTGAAATGGTTGAATATAGTTTTTCCAGTGACTGATGGTGATTTCTATATCTAGAGAGCAGGGTGGCCAATATATGTGATTAAATACAGTTTAATGGCAAATGTGTTGAACAAAGAAATATTGCATTTATTTTACACCATTATTGCGCAAAAATCCCTAAAAAAAGTATCTGAAAAGAGAAAGTGTGATCTATTGGTAGCTGCTGGTATTGACACGGTAAGTGTGCAGAATAATGCTCATCTCAAAATAGCCAGATATATTGCACTGTTTTATTTTCCTTCATTCAAAGACCCGTGACGTGCAGAGCTCTGTAGGAGAAGTCTGTAGGAGCTCATGGTTTAAATCTCAATCTGAGTTTAGAGCTGAATGGAGCGGTTCATGCTGACTTCATTCCTCACGCCTGCTCTCAGCATGTATATCATCTACTATCAGAAAAAACACCATTCACTCGTGTGATATGCTGAAGGGAGAATAATGAAAGCTTTCCTCAAATGAGGTCCAAGAGTAATATTTCAACTTTTACTGTGGTCACACAAATCTCAAACGGTGCTTTTAGACATTGTTCATGTCACTATTCATTCAGATGACGACTCAGTGGGCAAAAACGCCAGCAAACATTAGATTTATGAGCCACGGATGCAACGTCTTATAATGTGACCGACAGACACGATACGGGCAGTGATGGTCATATCCGTGGTCATCTCTGGAAAGAGCAACATAGGAAGAGGATCATCTTTCCACTCTTCCTGCTCGTGATGCATTGCATTAAGATTATTACATTTTATATTTCTGAAATCCAATCCTTCCAGATCCTCTTCCTGATATTATCGTATTATTACATTTACATTTACATTTAGTCATTTTGCAGATGCTTTTATCCAAAGCGACTTACAATTGGGTATTATTTCACACAATGATCTGTGAATGTATCCATCTGCTATATATTACATATTGGTTAATTTGTGTGTTTTTCTTTATTCTTTGATATATATAAAATTTTTTAATTTCTTAATTTTTTGTAATGCTGTCCATCTTGACCAGGATGCCCTGGTAGAAGAGATATTGTATTTTATTTATATATATATATATATATTAGGGATGGGTTTTTTTTGTATTGTGGGTCTCCAAAATATAGTTTTGGCCAACAAATATTGCAAATTAATTAAAGTTTAAACCAAAAAATACGTCTCAATATTTATGAGCAATGAATGTGTTCTTCAGCTAATAATGCATGAAAAATATATTGAATATGGTCATTCTGAAAATTGTTTAAAAAACAAAGAAAGAAAAAATAAGAGTTGTAGCTTCATGAACAACCAAATTAAAGACTGTTTTCTTAATGTTATGTTATTTCTTAATACAAATGAGGCATTATCTAATTAAATATGCATGCATTTTGCATACATTTCCAGAACCGAAATCTGAACGTTAGATCAAGCTAGGTTCAGAATTATTTGTTTCATTTTTAATTTTCTGTGTTTGAGAGTTCTGGGTTATTAAATGATATATTTTTTTAAATGATTTTTTTTGTGCTACTGTCACAATGACCAAAAGTACAGATGTTAAAAATGAAGCTGTCGCGGATCAGAAAGTCTTTGAGCTGTTAGACGTCCATAACACACAGTTTGACCGAAGCGCTTCAGCTGCCATATTGACTTCAGATTCAGTCAGTCATGAGGTGTTAGGTACAGCATCAGTTCATTTCTCTGATCGTTTACAGCTCATTCCTCTCTCGTTATCATCATTTTTTCAATTACAGCACTGTTTTGAATTTCATAAGTACAGGCTTTTAAAAATATTTATTGACAAACTATATAATTATTCAGTTAATTGTTGAAATAATCAACAGATTGTCAGAGTAGTTGTGGTTGCAGCCCAGTTTGTTTCCTTGCAGATCCATTTACTGCGATATTTCTATTTATTCCACATGCATCAACATTTCTGAATCTTTGTGTATTTCCAGGTGTATGTTTTGAATCCCAGATTTCTTAGTTTGCATGTTCAGCCGTGTTGTTTTCTGAACACACACTCATGTCGTGTGTGTTTGTGTGTGTCGCAGGGAACAGCCCATCTTCAGCACTCGAGCTCATGTGTTCCAGATCGATCCCGCCACCAAACGCAACTGGATCCCGGCCAGCAAGCATGCGGTCACCGTCTCCTTCTTCTACGACGCCAACAGACACGCCTACCGCATCATCAGCGTGGGCGGGACCAAGGTGAGCGGCTTCTCCTCTGCTTTACAGCACGTTTGGTCTGGTGCGCAGGTTGGTGTGTTTCATAGTTCTGGTGCATCAACCTCAATTCATATGTATAACCCTCTAAGAAATGCTGTATAGAAGAAACGTTAAAAGATCTGGGATATCTGCAACAACTGTACATTTAACAATTCAGAATAGCGTATTATCATGCTGTTTCTGCAGTATGCAGATTTCCTCTATTCATTAAATACCTAGATGATCTATGACGACTGACAAAATGTTCAGAATAACGTGTGAGATATCTGATCTTCCTTTTCCACTGTGACAGATAAACTGGAAGTATAACTGATTTTTTAATATCAATTAAATTGTACAATATTGCATTTTAAATAATAAAAGGAGTTGAATAATTCCATAACACGAGACTTAATTTAGTTCAAAGTTGATTCAATTCAGGTTCGTAACGGCGTCAATGTTGCAAAGTTCATAAATTATTAAACAAACCGGTTCAATAATCCATTGCAAAATTCATCATGTATGAAAATAGTGTCAGTGCAGTTAAATCAATAATATTATTGAATGTTAATTTTAACACTAATTATTGAGTCAAAAGGGAGGTTGTAGTTGATGTAGCTTCATTTTTATTCACACTGGGAATGGAAGTTCAAATCGAGTGCATTGCATAGTGAGAAAGTGTATTGCACTTAATGTACTCTGGTTGTTTATTGCATATTTTGTCAAATGTGTGTCATCATGCTATTTGATGCATGTGCATACTGTACTCATGTTGCACATACTGCATACTAGCAGTGTGCCGCAGGTTCTGCAGAAAGCCTCTCGTGGTTATCATCAGTGCAACATGCCAGGAAATCCATCCGACTGCAGCGGCGTAACGTAATAAACATCTCCGTCAGCTACAAGCTTTCAGATGGTGATTATTGGGTCCATGTGATTAGAGCCAGAACGAAGTACTCGCCGCGAGGGGATTTACGCTGAAGTGAAGGTTAATAGCTCAACACCTGATATCAGAGTGAACGAGAAGAGTTGAGTGCAGGAAAACTCCGGAGCTGCATGACTTGCATCCTGTCGGGATAATCGATACTCGTTGATGGAGCGAATCAGAGCTGTCCAACCGCTCGAGCGGAGACGCTGAGCGAAGAGTTGAGCGCTCAGGAGGAAAGACAGCAGCACACAGGCGACCTCGAGTCGTTACCATAGTCTCTTAGAAACAGTTTGCAGATTGTTCTGGTCAAGCACCGCCCACTGAGACAGGAAGAGAGCGTCTGATTGACATGTGAAGTGACCGATGACCGTTTGTTTCTTGCTTTTACGAGCTGTTCAGATTAACATGGAAGCTTGTTTCTGACACAGGATAAAAATAAAAAAGGTAATTGCAACTTTTTAATTTCACAGTTCCATAAAAATAGAATTGTGAGATCTAAATGATATATATCTCGCAATTCTGAGTATATATCTCACAGTTTGGTCTTTTCTTCTCAGAATTTCGAGTTTATATAAGAAAAGACCAAATTGTGAGAGATAAAAAATCCCAAAATGCAATTACCTTTTTTATTTTTATTCCGTGGCGTCAGAAATAAGTTTATATCTGGCATCTGAGTTTATATCTTGTGATTCTGAGAAAAATGTCAGAATTGCAAGTTGTAAAGTTCGAATTGTGAGATAAAAATTCGCAATTACCTTTGTTTTTATTCCGAGGTGGATATATCTTCTAGAGATAAATCTGAAAACGATGCACACCAGTGGTCAAAAGTTTGGAATAATTAAAGAAATAAAAATGCTTTTGAAAAGTCTCTTCTAAATTTATTTGATTAAAAATCCAGTAAAAACTGTAATATTGTGAAATATTATTACAATACAAAATATCAGTTTTCTATGTAAATATCTGTTTTTTTCAGCATCATTCCTCCAGTCTTCAGCGTCACATGATCTTCAGAAATCATTCTAATATGTGTATTGTTACTGTAACTACATCTCATGCATTGGTATTGAACTTTACCTCTCTGAACTGCATCTCGTATAATGATATCAGCGTTCGTATTAAACTCCTGAATGGAGCAGACTGTCCTCACCGAAGCCTGTAGATCTCAGTTGTTGTTGGATTAGCGGAGTGTCTCGGCTTCATCTAACACCTCTAAACTGACCCACATTTAGATTCAGGATGACCTCACTATCATGATTCCGGCGGTCACCGTGGTAATCTGCAGTCACATGACTCCTGCTGTCAGGAGGAACAGGAGTCATTAGGGAACCATAAAGCTATGAGAGACTCAATAAGCCATGCTACGACACAAAGCAGAGGAGCTGCAACACCGTTATCATGGTGAATGTCCTCTTTTGTAAAACTGCAATATGATAAAAAAAAAAAATATATATATATATATATATATATATATATAATTAACAATGAAAAAAATCTTTATTTTTTTTATTTTTAAAATAATTTAATCAATCAAGAGTGACAGTAAAGACATTTATAAATCTTTTTAAAATAATAGAATCATCATTGCTGCTGTATATTTTATCTTAACTGTATTATTAATTTAGTATTGTAAGGATAAAAGAAACTAGAATACTTTGATCTCCTGAGAGGCCAACAATGCACTGGCATCTTCAGGACACCCCACAGAGGGGTGGTGCGGGAAACGCCTCTCTCACATATGCATCTGTGCCTTTTCATCTCCTCCCTCCACTGGATTCACTCAAACTGGTCAAGAATATAATGTTCTAAATGAATACAGTATCTTAACTGTCTGTGTATGTGTGTAATTATATATACACTATGTATGTATGTATGTATGTATAATATATATATTTTTTTTTAGAAATTAACATTATTATTCAGCTAGGATGCATTAAATTAATCAAAATCATTAGAGAATCCTGAAAAATAATGTCTACATACAATATATTAAAGTTTGTGGTCAGTAAAGAAATTAATATTTTTATTCAGCAAGGCTGCATTAAATTGATCAAAAGTGACATTAAAGACAATTATAATGTTACAAAATATATATTTCATGTAAATGCTGTTCTTTTGAACTGTCTATTCATCTTTAAATCCTGAAAAATAAAATGTATCACAGTTTCCACAAAAATAGTTTTCAACACTGATAATAATCAGAAATGTTTCTCGAGCAGCAAATCAGCATATTATACTGATTTCTGAAGATCATGTGACACTGAAGACTGGAGGAATGATGCTGAAAATACAGCTGTGCATCACAGAAATACATTACATTTGACAGAAAAAAAAACCAAATCCAATTTTTCTAAACATCATTTATAAGTGTCTCTTGTTCTCTCTAGTTGTATTACTGCTTCATCATGATGGCTTGAGTTGTTGTGATCATTTTTGTGCAGCTTTATTGATTTGTTCATATATATTTTTTTAGAAATTAACATTATTATTCAGCTAGGATGCATTAAATTAATCAAAATCATTAGAGAATCCTGAAAAATAATGTCTACATACAATATATTAAAGTTTGTAAGTTTGTGGTCAGTAAAGAAATTAATATTGTTATTCAGCCAGGCTGCATTAAATTGATCAAAAGTGACATTAAAGACAATTATAATGTTACAAAATATATATTTAATGTAAATGCTGTTCTTTTGAACTGTCTATTCATCTTTAAATCCTGAAAAATAAAATGTATCACAGTTTCCACAAAAATAGTTTTCAACACTGATAATAATCAGAAATGTTTCTCGAGCAGCAGATCAGCATATTATACTGATTTCTGAAGATCATGTGACACTGAAGACTGGAGGAATGATGCTGAAAATACAGCTGTGCATCACAGAAATACATTACATTTGACAGAAAAAAAAACCAAATCCAATTTTTCTAAACATCATTTATAAGTGTCTCTTGTTCTCTCTAGTTGTATTACTGCTTCATCATGATGGCTTGAGTTGTTGTGATCATTTTTGTGCAGCTTTATTGATTTGTTCTGGTTTTAATAAAAACATGGGACATTTTAGATGTTTATGATACATTGATTCAATATGTCATATGAAGTGTTTATCGCCACGGTCTCTCAGTTATTAGATTTCATGTTTTACACTCTCTCAGGGGTCATAAGTGTGGCTCCAGTCAGACTGTTAACCTGAACGATTGCGGTTTAGGCTTCAGCATGTGTTACTGATCTTCTATTTAAAGCTGCTGGAAACACTTTACACCAGCTTGTGCTACAGTTTTTTATTTATTCATATTTATGTAACTTGTTTATACACACTTAGTCTTCAAATACTGTCCTAAACAGCACAAAATAATATCAACGTTTTGCATAAACAAGCATAAATTGTGTTTACAGTATTGCACTTTCAATGCTGGTCTATTAGCAGAACCATCCAATTAATTATTCTAAACATCATTTATAAGTGTCTCTTGGTCTCTCTAGTTGTATTACTGCTTCATCATGATGGCTTGAGTTGTTGTGATCATTTTTGTGCAGCTTTATTGATTTGTTCTGGTTTTAATAAAAAACATGGGACATTTTAGATGTTTATGATACATTGATTCAATATGTCATATGAAGTGTTTATCGCCACGGTCTCTCTGTTATTAGATTTCATGTTTTACACTCTCTCAGGGGTCATAAGTGTGGCTCCAGTCAGACTGTTAACCTGAACGATTGCGGTTTAGGCTTCAGCATGTGTTACTGATCTTCTATTTAAAGCTGCTGGAAACACTTTACACCAGCTTGTGCTACAGTTTTTTATTTATTCATATTTATGTAACTTGTTTATACACACTTAGTCTTCAAATACTGTCCTAAACAGCACAAAATAATATCAACGTTTTGCATAAACAAGCATAAATTGTGTTTACAGTATTGCACTTTCAATGCTGGTCTATTAGAGGTTAGACGTTGTCGTTAAAAATAGATGTTATTTGAGCCGTAATGTTTCTAAATCATCCTGTTGAGGTGGGAATACTGTTTATGTTTTGCTCTATGTAAACAGTGATTTACAGATAGTTGCATCACAAACCTTTCTGGTATTCTTGCACGTATTGTCTAAAAGTTACCAGATTTTAAGGCGTTTTTTGACATTTTTAAAAGGGATATTGTCATATTTTACTCACCCTCAAGTTGTTCAAAACCTGTACAAGATTCTTTCTTCTGTTAAACACAAAAGAAGGTATTTTAAAGAATGCTGGTAACCAGACCATTTCTATAGCCTAGTATTTTTTTGCATACTATGGAAGTCAATGGCTACCGTCAACTATTTTCATTTTTGGGTGAACTATCCCTTCTGTATTCTTTTAAATGGGTGCTTATTCAGAATGTTCTGTGATGTACGTCCTCTCTTTTGGTAGGCGATCATCAACAGCACGATCAGCCACAACATGACGTTCACTAAGACGTCTCAGAAGTTCGGTCAGTGGGCGGACAGTAGAGCGAACACCGTCTACGGCCTAGGATTCGCCACAGAGCAGCAGCTGCACCAGGTGTGAACATCTTTAATGGCCCGTTTATAGAGAAACGACACACAATGTGTTGTCTTTGTGCAAATGCATGAACACAAATGCTTCAAATGAGATTAAGATGGTGGATAAAAACCAACATAATATAGTTTTGCATAGACATGATTGGAAATACTTGCATCACCCCTTATATAATACAGCATTATGTGTTTTTGTTGCAGTTTGCCGAACGTTTTAAAGAGGTGAGGGAAGCTGCACGTCTGGCCAGAGAGAAATCACAGGACAAGATGGAGCTGAGCAACGCAGCTCTCAGTATCGCCGCTCCTCAGGTGTGACGTCACTACTGGCAACATTCTAGCAGCCAGAAAATGCATTGAAGCCACTCCTTAGCAACATCCTAGCAACCACTCACAACACTTTAGTAGGTGCATAGCAACGCCCTGGCAACCAGCCAACATTCTAGAAGCCTGGCATTACATTAAAGCTGCATAGCAACACCTTTACCAGCTGCATAGCAACACCCTGGCAACCACCCAACATTCTAGTAGCCTAGAAACACATTGAGGCAACTCTGTAGGAACCACATCCTTACAACCACTCACAACATTTTAGCAGCTGCATAGCAACCACCCAACATTCTAGCAGCCTGGTAAAGCATTGAAGCAACTCCTTAGCAATATCCCAGCAACCACTCCCAACACTATAACAACTGCATAGCAACGCCTTGTCAACCACCAAACATTCTTGAAGCCTGGCATTGCATTAAAGCTGCATAGCAACACCCTGGCAACCCTGGCACTCACAACACTATAGCAGCTGCATAGCAGCACCCTGGAACTTGCAACCCTGGCATTCACAACACTTTACCAGCTACATAGCTATGCCCTGGCAAACACGTAACATTCTAGCAGCCTTGCAAAGCACTGAAGCTGCATAACAACACCCCAGCAGTCCTGGCACAAACAACACTTTAGTATCTGCTTAGCAACGCCCTGGCAACCACCCAACATTCTAACAGCCTAGCAACTTTGAAGCACTGAAGCAGCTCCTTAGCAACCACATAGCAATTTAGCAACTGCAAAGCAACCACGCTGGTAGCCAAACAACATTCTAGAATCCTGGCAATACATTAAAGCTGCATAACAACGCCCTAGCAACCACCCAACATTCTAGCAGCATGGCAACACATTGCAGCCACACCTTAGCAACCATATAGCAACATCCTAACAGCCACTCACAACACATTAGCAGCTGCATAGCAGCGCCCTGGCACTCACAACACTTTAGCAACTCCATGACAACACCCTGGCAACGGCCCTGAACCGCCTAGTTTTGACTTATTTTCCTGTAGTTTCTGCTCTTCATCTAACGGATCTTGTGTGTGTGTGGTAAGTGAAGGGTTACTGTAATCCTAGAGCAGGATGAGCTGGGTCATTCGTCTCACTGGGAAGTGAGAGGAGAACTAGGACAGTGATAAAATTATCCAGAGCCATCCTGTTTGCGCTCTGTCAGCGTCTGTCTTCTCGTATGATGTCGAACTGCTTGTCTTTTCAGGTCAGAGGCTGTTGAAGGGCCATTAGAGACTCTCCTGACGAGAGCCTGTTTTTTTTTTCTGCTGTTCACACTGAATTCTGCACAATGCGCTTCAGTTTCGCTTTTGTCCGCGTCTGTTCTCATTACACAATCTGAAAGGACTGGATCAAGCTTCAGCAGCAGAATGCATTCGTCAGCCCTATTTTAGTGTTAAACATGGTTGCATTCACACACATTTCGGTTATAAACCAGAGTGACACCTGAAATCTAGATATGATCAAGATTCACAACTAAATTCTGAGCATGAGTTTGGTTTATTACTACCTAAAAGAGATTTTCGGCTTGATTTGGACTCTGTCAGAGACTTATTCAGTCTCGCTCCTGTTGTGAGAACAGAGAGAGAGTTGCAAATACTGTTGTCAATCTCAAATACTGACTGTGAGAATTTATTCAGTCACAATCAAACCGGAGTGACACTTATTTTGCACATGCAGTAGAGTTCTCTAGGTCGGTGGAAATGAAGTGAGGTCATTTCAGCAATAAAATCATTTTGAGGTATTAAAGGTTTTATTTTTTGAATGCCCTGTGTTTTTCCTGCTGTCTGAAGTTTTGATAATGTTGATCAATTTAATTTCATGCTTGAGGTTTCGCTGAGGAGAAATTGTAATACTAGCTATGAAATAAAAAAATATATGATTGAATCTTTAAAATATATACTATTTTAATATACATGTATTTATATAATATGTTTGTTTATATATGTAAAATATATAAATATGTATTATTAAATTTAAATAAATGTATTTAAAATATATAATGCATTATATAATTGAAGATTAAAATAAATATTTAATATAAATAAATATTTTTAAAGCATATAATTCATTATTTCATTGAAGTATGTAGTAGAGGACTTAAGTATTGATTTAACAGCTGCTTAGTGTTATTTTAATATTATTGAGATTTTGTTATAGATTTATTAATATTTTGAATTAGTTTTTATTTTTGTATTTTCTGTATTTTTATATTTTCATTTAATTTTAAAGTTTTAGAAATTAGTTTTTTAAATTTTACATGACTTTTTAATGACTTTAATTCATTTGTATTTCTATTAAGTTAATTTAGTACATTAAATTAAACTAAATGAAAATGAGTAAAGTTGCTTTGGCAACTAGCTGAAATAAAATAGGTTTAAAGTTTATTTCATTCAATTTAAGTACTGTTTATCAGTATTAAACCAATTATATATTTATTTGAGTTAAATTGACAAATATATTTTGAAGTGTTATAGTTCCCCCTTATAACATATTATATTAAATTCAATATTATTGGTCTTTAATTGAATGGCACTAAATGTTTCTTATACCAAAAGATGGCAGGTAGATTTGTAGAAGTGTGTGAACAGCGTGTAAAAATGCCACCCCACGCATGATAAATAATGGGAATGACTATCTTTTATAATTTTCTCTCAATGCTTTCAATCCGGACGCTGTCAGTTCTCTCAGGTGAGTTTGACATTCACACACGCGCGCACACAGCATGAGCGCCGCAGCACGATTCAGAGTTTTGTGGGAATATAAGCAGCCGCTGTTGATGTAGTAAAGGGGGTTTACTAAACACACACATCACGAGTCCCACGGTGAACCCTGTAGAATCATCTGCCACTGCAGGAGCAAAATCAGGTCATTTTCACACGTGACACAGACGGGGTTCACCTTCACCAGAAACCAATCATATTTCATACCTGCCAATGTTGAAATAGAGCAAAATGACCAAGTGAAAAATAAGGATTTGGAATGACAGCTGAAAATTGTGTTATGATGATTTTACCGCTGGCCTATTTGTAACGATACGATTCTGCTCATTATGGTGCATTTGCTCACCGTTTGCTATAACGAGACTGAGAATGACTTTATTATGCGTTTCAAACTCACCTGCTGAAATCTGGGTCATTTAACAATGGTGCCATTTGTACTTGAAAATGTGTATTTTTATATAATTTCATTGAAAAGGTTTGTAATGAACTTTAAAGAAATCATATTTACCCATGCAGCTCTATATATGCATATAGAGAGAAAGAGAGATTTTTGTATTTACTGTAAATTTATATTAGTGCTGGGCAACGATTAATCGCATCCAAAATAAAAGTTTTTGTTTACATAATATGTCATATTTATTATGTATATATAAATACACACACATACAGTATATATTTTGAAAATATTTACATGTATATGTAATATATTTAATATATAAACATAATATATTTTTCTTAAATATATACATGCATGTGTGTTTATATATATATATATATAGATAGATAGATAGATAGATAGATAGTTCAACCTTAAGGCCATTTATCAGACATTAACAAAACAAAAAAATAAAAAAATCCCCACAAACACCAGTGGTTTCTGTATAAACAGGTAAGTGTACAGGTGTATATATACATACATAATAAATATACACAGAACATACATATACTATGTAAACAAAAACTTTTTTTTTGGATGTGATTAATCGCAATTAACTGTTGCCCAGCACTAATTTATATATATATAATAAATTATGTATTATATAATATTTATTGTGTAACTAAATAAATTAAATAAATAAATTACTTATTTTAACTGACTATGGTGTTACAGCCTTGAAAAGTGTATATGTATATATATATATATGTATATACGCACACATAAGTGATTTATATATTTATAATTTAAATTACTAATTTTAACTAAATATTAGGTGACAGTCCTGAAAAGTACCAACATTTATAATATATATCAAATATATAATATTATATTAACCTTCATAATGGTTATTTATTGTTGCTCTTCCTGAAGCATTACGATAATTCAACCCTACCACAATATGTATTTTCTACGCATTTGTGTGTGTGTGTGTGTGTATGTATGTGTGTATATATATATATATATATATATATTCAAATTACATGATAGATAATTCATATACATAATGTATTATTTGTGAATTATGTAATGTGTGTGTATACACAAGCAATGTATATACTTAGAATTTGTATAAATCACTGACTATATTCTGGTAGTATCACAGCTTTGTTGCCTTGTTTCAGTTTTGTACCCTGTAATCAGACATTAAAATGTTAATATATTACTACAATAATAATATAATGAAGTGATATTAGTATCCTGTGACATATCCAACAACTATGACATATTATTTTCATCATATGCCAACATGATGAAAAAATGTTTTAAAATAAAAGTATTTTGTTTGCATTTACAAAAACAGTATCAACAGTAATTCACTGCATCACACAACTCACAGATGGCACTGTTTATACTGTATATTATTATATATTTATAGTATTTATTTTACTAGAAATGTAGTAAATTATGCTTTTTAGTGTAACACAGTTGTCAGTTAAAAGGATTTATCTTGAAGTGAGTCAGACAGACGCTGAGCTGTGAGTGTGTCTGGATTCATCTGATAACAGCAGTGTTCTGTGTGTGTGTGTGTGTGTGTGTTCATTAAATGAAGCAGTAGCGTTTAATTAGAGCATTAAATAAGCATGAATGAACATCAGAGGGCGTTGAAAGAAACAGTACAACTTACTGAAATGTCAAGTCTCATGCAATCGATCAATCCGTTTCTACCAAAATAAAGATATCAATAAAACATCTTCACGTAGCATTACAGTTACCTCATGAAAGTCATTTGACATCTATAAACTTGTTAGATGTACTATATTACATATTCATTATTTTTTAACCTCTTTGAATAAATTTGTCATGAAAACTAGTTTTTATTACAGCCACTGTTTTAATATTTAAATTCCAACCGTGAATTGGAGTAGAAGCATAATTATTTCATTAAAATGTTGATATAAAACTGCCTTATGTGCAGTTTAAATGTTTCGTGTTTATTAATCGATACATTTGATTAATTAATTGATTATTAAATGCACTGTATTTTTGGTTTCAGTTTTCGTCTAAATTAAACAGTGTTATTTTAGTATTATTGAGATACTATTGTAGTTTTTATTAATATATGGAATCAGTTTTTGTTTTTGTTTTTATATTTTCTGTTTTCATTTTAATTTTAGTTCTATTTAAGTTTTAGTACGTTTGTTGTGTGTTTGTCGTTTTTTAAAATATGTCTATGTAGGGCTGGGCGATATAGCTAAAAAATTTATCAACGATATAATGTTTCATATCGTTCGGTATCGATAATTATTGACATTTTTTATAACCTTTTGTAAAACAAAGAGCAAAATATATATTTTTTTTAATTGAACCACTGTATTTTTAAGTTTACCCAATTTATTGAGACAAACAACAAATATTTTTTTGTTTTAACAGTCAAACACACAATAAAAATTAAACAAATATCTAATTTCTAATGTTTATATGCAGATTAAATAGGTCTTAAGGAAACATCTGTCTTGTCTCCCGAATGAGCAAAATAATGCAGCACATTTAAATGGTCAACGCAAGGAAATAACTGTCTATAAAAAAACCTGCATTACGTCTAATTTAACTCATATAAATAAAATTTCGTAAATTGCATAAATTATGAACAAAACAGCAACACGTATTTATGCATTGCTTAATCCAAAGAGCCGAAGCGCCATTCACACAGACTGCATTTAAAAACATAAGAGACGCAGTGAAAAGGAATAAACCTCCACAAATTCGACTGAAAGTTTAAACTGTTTTAACTTTGCGTGACTACATCTCTTGTGTGAGACGCGAGTGCAGCAGTCATATTTGTCCGTCTAAAAATGTCTTATGCATCTGTGTGAATGGCTTGGCTTGGTTTCGGTTTTCACCTAATCAAGATCTTCTCCGCGTTGAGCTTCTATATTTCTCTAATATTTTGAATGCATAGCACAGCAGCGGCGCGTCTCGTGGGCTAGACTAACAAAACATTAAAATGCAACAACGTCACTTGCATCATTATCACCGTGCTCCACTGATGACGCTCCCTGACACACTCCTAACATTCAAATGCAAATGTTTATTTTAAATTCGACTAATCTTTTTTTTTATTTTATTCACAATCTCCTCATCACAGGCAGGCACAGCACTCATTTCAGCATGTGTTCGTGTTTGTGTGTGCGGTCTGCGTCACTCATAGCACGTGCCTATATCGTGCGCTATATCGAACATTTTTTCTATCGATATCGAAGAAGGTGTACCGTCGGTAAATATCGATACCGTTTTATCGGCCATGCCTATGTCTATGTAGTTTTTATTCATTTTTATTTCAATTTGACCTATTTTAGTACATCAAGTTAAACTAATTTAAAATTGAGAAATGTTTATTTTTTTTTATTTCAGTTAATGTTTTTTATTTTAAATTAAAAAAAATTTTAATGGTTTTAATTTTTAGTTTTTTTTGTTGAATATAATATCCCTGAAATTATAACGTAAATTTTTTTTTTTACAGAAACACAAATCCAAAATTAATTTTGGTGCATCACTAGCAAGCAGCACTCAGCTTTTCTTTGCAAACAGAACCTGGATTTGAGGTGTTTTTCCATGCTCTGAGACGTTCTGGTGTCTTGTGTCAGGAGAGACGCTGTGCTGATGAGTAATAAACACACTCGCGCTCCTTTCATTCTCACCCGTTTGCTCTTGTGTTCGATCAGCACAGGACTCTTTTGTAACCGGGTTGCTATGGAGAGCGTCTGAAAGTAACCAGTCAAGAGCGTTTGTATGGAGCGACGCTCCATTTTCACAAGAGTTACGCCTGCGATTCCTGGAAACATTTCATGCACTAAACGCTGCACACTTTTCTGCAGTCAAAGGAAATTACAGATGAGATGCTGTTCTGAAAACTTTAGTAGTTTGCTTTTTTGATACTATTTGTCAACCAAAATGTGAAAACAGCGGTACAATTTTAATGCACTGTACTCCATTATTTTCTTCGTTGGCATTTTTATTTTAATTTCTAAATGTAATTTCTATTTTCATTTTAATGTTTTGTAATTTTATTAAATTTGTCATTTTTATAATTTTTTCATATATATTTGAAATATTATATAATATTTTAATGTTTTAGTTCAGACCTTTGACGCCTGGGAAAGCACATTATTTATGTTGCCACGGTGATAATTTCAATTTGATGATGCATTTGTCATTTCAGGCCTGGGTTCAGATAAACATGCTCAGTTGACTTGTGAAGTTTATTTCTTCATCACTTTATATATCTATTTATATATCATCACTTCATATATTAAATATCTTATTTTCTTTTATATTTGGTTTCCGTTTTGCTGTTGTTTAACCCTTTATGAAAACATGTTTTTAAAGTGTCCCCTCATTTAAAAAAAAATTACTTCTGCTTGGAATAGTGAACATAAATAAATGCAGTGAATTTTCACATGCTAGGATTATCTGATTGGATTTGCTAAGTAATACATTTACTATTTTATACAGTGCATGCTTGCTTTGATGCACAGAGCATTAAAGCTTCAATAATTGATCTACTCCATTTTGATTAAACAATATTCAGTTAAGTTAAAGGGAAAACTGGTTGCGCTTGCTGTGCAGAATCACTGTATTCTCATGTTAGGGTTCCTGGCTAAAAACCTCAGCATGGGTTGAAGTGGTCAGTGTTTCTGTGTGTTTCAGCTCGATCTGTGAGATGAATCTGGAGTCCGAGCTCTTCACCTTACAGGACAGTAACGCTAAACTCGTGGCCGCGCTGCATGAGGCCAACGCTAACGTGGAGCAGTGGAAGAAACAGCTGGCGGCGTATCAGGAGGAGACGGAGAGATTACGAGATCAGGTGAAAATATACGCCGCTTTCAAACTGTGTGCAATGTGGCAAGTGCAAGAGAATCAACAGTACAAAAATAAATCAAGTGTTAATATTTATTGATTTATCTGCAGCACTGTATTTTTGTAGTTGTTATTTTTGAATTTGTATTAATATTTTGAATTATTAGTATCATTGATATATTATTATAGTTTTTGTTAATATTGCAATTTAGATTGTGTTTTTATATTTTGTTTTCATATTAACGTTAGTTAGTTTTAGTAATTTTATTGTTTTTGTCAAGTCGCTGGGGTATATTTGTAGCAATGTATGCAATAGCATACATTGTATGGGTCAAAATTATAAATTTTTCTTTTATGCCAAAAATCATTAGGATATTTAGTAAAGATCATGTTCCATGAAGATATTTAATAAATTTCCTACCATAAATATATCAAAACGTAAGTAAATATGCATAGCTAAGAACTTCATTTGGACAACTTTAAAGATGATTTTCTCAATATTTAGATTTTTTTGCACCCTCAGATTCCAGATTTTCAAATAGTTGTATCTCAGCCAAATATTGTCCGATCATAACAAACCACACATCAATGCATATTTTTCAATTTCGAAAAATTGACACTTAAGATTTTGTGGTCCAGGGTCACATTTTTTGTTATATATGTAGTTTTTATTCATTTTAATTTATTAATTTTAGTACTTCAACTTAAAATGACAAATGTTGCCTTAGCAACCAGCTGAAATGAGTAAAATTTTATTTTATATCAGGTAACAGTTATTTTAAGTAACTTTAGTTTTTTAGTTTAGTTTATTTGTTTTTGGTTATTTTAGTACTTCAAGTTAAACTAAATGAAAATGAGAAATGCTGCCTTTATTTTTTTTATTTAAATTTACTTTAAGTATTTTAGCTATAATAAACTATATCTATAATAAAATATTTTCGAGAATTACTGTATAACCATTTTAAAACAATATGAAAAATTAAATGTGCATGAGATAAGACTTGTTTTTAATACATTTATTATGTGTAAACATACAAAAAATATTGTAATATTGGTTGCTAGTTGCTAGTTTAAGGTAAATGGTTTTCCTTTAAACAGAATTGAAACATGAATTTATATGGGGTAAAAAAAACTTGATTATGCTGATGGAATAAATACAGTTTAATAACGGCAAATGAGATTTCCAAAATTCACTAAATTGCCACTGTGTATCAGTTGTGCTATATAAATAAATTTGCCTTGCCTTGTCTTAAATTGGAAAAAAAAGCCTATTTAATTGACCTGCTTGATAATTTCAAGAGATTTAAGAAGGTAAACTGGGTTCAAGTCCAAGTGAGAATCAAAAGTACTCTCCATCGATCCGAATGCATTGTCATCAACACCCTTTCCTTTTCTCTCACATCTCACCGTTTGCTCTGGTTATCGCTGAACGACTGCGAACAGGACGCGTGTTTGCGTGAGGTGGCCCTCAGTCTCGCTGCGTCTCTGAGCCCAGAACAGGCGACCAGGTGGTGGAAAATGGTTCATGTCTCACGAGACTGGAGAAAGAGAGAGAGAGAGAGATGTGGGGTGGTTTGTAGGACAGCAATATCCTACTTTCAATGGCCTAGTTAGGAGAACTGAAATATCACCGGGGGGAGCTGCCAGACCCTCGATTGGAAACTTTTTTGCACTTTACACGGTTAAAAATAAGCCAGTCTCTCATAAGACCCTCAGAGTGCCAGAGACCTATAGGAGCTGCTCCTCTTTCTCCTGAGCGAGTGTGTGTGTGTGTGTGTGAGAGAGAGAGTGTGTGTGAATGTGTGTGAGAGAGAGAGAGTGTCTGTGTGTGTGAGAGAGTGTGTGTGTGAGAGAGAGAGAGAGTGAGTGCGTGTGTGTTTAAGAGAGAGAGAGTGTGTGTGACTGTGTGTGAGAGAGAGAGAGTGTGTGTGTTTGTGTGTGTGTTTAAGAGAGAGTGTGTGTGACTGTGTGAGAGAGAGTGTGTGTGTGTGTGTGTGTGTGTGTGTGTGACTGTGTGAGAGAGAGTGTGTGTGTGTGTGTGTGTGTGTGAGAGAGAGAGAGAGAGTGTGTGTGTGTGGGTGAGAGAGAGAGAGAGTGTGTGTGTGTGTGTGAGAGAGAGTGAGTGCGTGTGTGTGTGTGTGTGTGAGAGAGAGAGAGAGAGTGTGTGTGTGTGGGTGAGAGAGAGAGAGAGTGTGTGTGTGTGTGTGAGAGAGAGTGAGTGCGTGTGTGTGTGTGTGTGTGAGAGAGAGAGAGAGAGTGTGTGTGTGTGGGTGAGAGAGAGAGAGAGTGTGTGTGTGTGTGTGAGAGAGAGAGTTTGTGAGTAAATTTTTTTAATTAATTTTAATAAAATAACATGATTTTTACTAATGTTTTCCGCGTTTTCCCATTATTTTATTAATAATTAAAATAATGTAAGAAATATTATTAATATTATTTTTTATTTACATTTTAATTATCATTTAGCTTTACAGACGCACTTCACTGAAAGTCACCAGTCCAGTTACTGCAATCATCTCCTCAAACTCCTCTATACAAGACACACAACGCATGGACCCGTCTCAGCAAGACCTCGCTGTATTATATGTTTCTGCACATTATTGCATCTCTGTGCATTTCAGGAGATCCGTATTCTCCAGAGTAAGAGGTCGAACTTCCACGAGCTGGAGCAGGAGAGAGAAGAAGCCATTCACAGACTACAGGTGCTGGAGGACATCACAACAGTAAAAAAAACAATGACTTATTTTGAAGTATTAATAATGCACTTTAATGCATCACAGAAGTGTCATAAATGTATTTACACAGGATTCACAATTTTTAATAATACAGTATTATTATTATTATTATTTAAATAATTTAATAATAATTTAGCTTTAGATTTAGCTTCAAAATTGTCACACATTTCTGGAACATTCAACCGAAGCATAAATGACTTATGAACAATTCAAAATAGAGGTTTAAAATAGTATAGAGATCAGCTGCTGTTTTTTTTTTTTTTGCATTTGTATTTACATTCAATAATTATTTTCATTTTAGTTATACATTAAATACATTTTAATATAAAATAAAAAAATATAATTTAATATATAATATTTTAATAATAATTTAAAATAATTAAATAAAAATGTTATTATTGTATTTTTTGCATGTTTCATTTAAATTAAATTATTTTAAGTAAAATAATAGTTTAATAATATTTTAAAATAAAATAATTATTTGTATTTTAATAATAATTTAAATAAAATAATAATGTAATTATATTAACAATTATTAATGATTAATAATTTAGCTTAAAAAAGTTCATGCATTTCTGTAATGTTCAACTTGAATGGCTTGAACACTTAAAAAAAATAAAAAAATAATAATCATAATTGTATAGAGATTGACCACTATTGATGTTGGTGTTTTTTTTTGTTAGATTTGTATTTGATTTTATTTTTTTACATTTACATAACATTGCCATTTTAAATTATTTTTTAATAATAACAATAACAACATTTTAATAATAGTAAAAATTATATTTCAATTATAATTGAGCTTAAAAATGGTCACATATTTCTGTAACATTCAACTTAAGCATGAATACTGTAGCTGTTATGTAAAAGTCAAATACATTTTTACAATCGCTTTAAAAGATTAGATTAAAAAGAAATCACAATTTTAAAAAAAAAATCTAAAACTACTAATGTTGTTTTTTTGCTTTTTTTTTTTTTTACATAAAATTTATATTTTAGTAATTCAAATAATTTAATAATTTTAAGCTAAATTATTATTAAAATGTCACGCCTTTCTGTAACATATCTATAGAAGTCAAATACATTTTTATGAACACTTTAAAAGTTTAGGTTAAAAAATGTCAGAATCATGTGTTTACTTTGATATTCTTCTTCATGCAGTACTTGAGTATTTGTGCTGCTTTGTGTAGTCTGTGTGTGTGTGTGTGTGTGTGTGTGTTTGTGTGTGTGTACTGGTTTATATATTCTGGTGGGGACTTAAACCTGAATACACACAGACTCATGGGGACCTGTGTCACGGTGGGACCTAAATTGAGGTCCCCACGGGTACAAAAGCTTATAAATCATACAGAATGAATTTTTTTGAGAAAGTAAAAATGCAGAAAGTCTCCTGTGAGGGGTAGGTTTAGGGGTAGGGTTGGTGTAGGGCAATAGAATATACGGTCTGTACAGTATAAAAACCATTACGCCTGTGGAGAGTCCCCACAAGGATAGCTGACCAGACGTGTGTGTGTGTGTATTGTGTGTGTGTGTGTGTGTGTGTATTGTATTGTGTGTGTGTATTGTGTGTGTATTGTGTGTGTGTGTGTGTGTGTGTATGTATTGTGTATTGTGTGTGTGTGTGTGTGTGTGTGTGTGTGTGAGATTTGAAGACATTTTCTAACTTCCTGGGGTTCTTTTTTTCTGTGAAAGCTCTGTGGCATGCTGTAAATGAGCACAGAATCCATGTCAGTGCCTCTCTGAATGTGTTTCAGGAGCTGGAGATGCGTAACGTCGAGCTGGAGCGGCGCGTGCAGAACACCGAACAGAACCTGGCGTCTGCGCTGGAGGACCGCGAGCGTGCCGAGAACGAGGTGCAGAGGGTCATTCAGATCCTCGACGTCAAGCTCTTCGACCTCAACGACCTGCGGCAGAGTCTGGTCAAGCTGATCAGTAAATAGTGTGATGCTCGCTCTCCCTGCTGTCTTTCCTTTCATCTTGAGTTTGCACTGAAAAGCTCTTTCTGTTCCAGTCTAGCAATAACTTGAGCGGTGAGGAGGTTATGATGGTGGAGCGTGAACAGCGTTGTTACAGTGTGGTAAAGGTTGAGGGGATGTTTATTTTTGATATACGCTCTTTGTCAGAAACACTAGTGCTGTGTGACTTCTTCACAGAATCTCAAGGTTTTTTTTTTTCATTTTTTTTTTTTAACCATGCATCGTGAACAATAGGGCTGGGAAAAATGTATTCACAAATGCATCACAATTCTTTCTCAAATGATTCTGGATTGATTTACGAAAGAATATAATTGAATTTTATTTTAAAGTATTAATAATTAAGTTTAGTTCAACACGAGTTATTTACACAAGATTTACAGTTGTGTTGAGATTTTTTTTGGTTGCATTTTTTACATCTACATTTAATTATTTTACATTATAAATATTATATAATTAAAATAATAATTGAGTAAAATTGTAATAATATTAAAAATTATTATATTTTAATAATAATAATTTTGCTTAAAAATTCACACATTTCTGTGACATTCAACTTAAGCATTTATGGCTGTAATAAAACTCAAATTTTTGAAAGATTATTGTTATGTCAAAGTCAAATACATTGTTATGAACACTTTAAAAAGATTAGGTTATGAAAATTTGTATAAAGATTGACCACTTTTTTTTCTCGCATTTTTATCTACATTCAATTATTTGAAATTATTATTTTAATTATAAATATTATATAGTTATAATGACAATTTGATCAAATTTTAATCATTAAAAATATATATATTATTTGTAATAACTTAAAATGATTTAATAATTAAAAAATTCACACATTTCTGTAACATTAAACGCAAACATGAATAGCTGTTATGGTGAAATGAAACAAATTTTTATGAACACTTTAAAAGATTAGGTTAAAAAAATTGAATCAGTTTGGAATTGAATCATGACTCTGTGAATCAAATTATAATTGAATCATGACTCTGTGAATCAAAATCTAATTGAATCATGAGTATTTAAGGAATATTATGTGTTATTTAGTTTATATCCAAAACAAGTTTGTAGCAAAGACCTTTGTGGCTCAAACACCAAACTTGAAATTTGAAACTGAAAATGATGTTTACCATTTTAGAAAGTCATGAGTTTTTGTGCCATGGAGTTTTATTTTTCTGAATCTCTATCTGCGCTGCAGCAGTATCTCAGCTGGGAGTGAGTAGAAACCAAAGACCAGCTTGAATGTGGCTCCAAACGCCTCTATATGTTCATACTGTGGAATGCTCAGTTTAGACGACAGCATTGATATAAAGCATTAAATATTAGCTGCACTGGCAGAAATATACGAGCAGGTAGAAATAAAAAATTCTGTTATGATAGAATATTAAGATCCCTTGATCTCGTGAGGGAATTTATACTTAAGAATAGCTGTAGTTCTTCATTGAGGAATGGATTCATGAATGTGCTTGAATGCATCTAGTGTAGTTGCTTTGTGCAGCTCTAAGGCTTCAAACTTTCATTTGATTAAAGGAATAATCCAGGCAAAAAATTACAATTTGCTGAAGATGTGCTCACCATCAGGCCATCCAAGATGTAGATGAGTTTGTTTCTTCATCAGAGTTGGAGAAATGTAGCATTGCATCAGTGTCTCAGCAATGGATGCTCTGCAGTGAATGGGTGCCGTCAGAATGAGAGTCCAAACAGCTGATAAAAACATCACAATAATCCACAGCACTCCAGTCCAAAGCACAACTGTATTGAGTTTTGTTTTGCTTTTTTTTTTTTATATCTACATTCAATTATTATTTTAATTTAAATATTATATAGTTAAAATATTAAAACATTAATAAATTCTTAGTGTTAAAATGTTTATATTTTTAAAATTCAGTTTAAAAATTCACGCGTTTCTGTACAGCTGGGAGTGTGTGTATTGAATTACATTGAATTTTTTTGGGGGAAAAACATTAAGTTGTTTTCAGTGTGAAAAATTATTTTTCACTGGAAAAATGCAATATTATTTATGAACTCATTCAGCTGAAAGCAACAGTTTGAAGTTAAAAGCGTCTTAATGCTGGATTAGTTTCAGTTTTTGTCTTCTCCAGATGTTAACTGATGGACTGGAGTGGTATGTATTACTTGTGGATTATTGACGGCACCCATTCACTGCAGAGCATCCACTGCTGAGACACTGATGCAATGACACATTTCTCCAAATCTGAAGAAACATCAGATTTTTAGGGTGAACTGTTTCTTTAAGTCATAGCTGTAATGGTTGTACAGTTGTGAATTGGATGTTGCATTATACAGTATCTTTATTATAGCACAAGTAAGCCGCTCATGTGGCTTCAGACTGCAGTATTTTAAGTGCCAACAGCCTGTTTTTATCTGTTCTCTCAATCCGCAGGGTTCGGCACGAACAGCACAAGCCACGTTTGTATTTGTGTGCTTTAAACATATATAGGGTCCAATAAACAGGTGTTTACTTTTATATTTCTTCTTGTTCATGCAGTACTTGAGTATGTGTACTTTGTATATTCTATAACAAGAGCATGTGTGATTTGAGTTGGAGAAAAATTGAGCTTTAGAAGTGGCGAGAACTCTATTCAAGGACAAACTCTCTTGAGGTCCCAGCATCATTTCTGCTTACTCTGACGCAAGAGCCTTATTTTTTCACATGCATCTCATCTTAGGTTTCTCCTGCAGCTCTTGACAGCCTGATTATATGATAACAGTAGTTAATTCTGCACTGTTAAGAGTCATGCTGTACTGACCGCCTAATGCAATCAGCTGGAAACTCCAGAGCAAAGGCTCACGATATATCATCTTCTCTGAATTTAAAGAAAACCTGCTGAATAAATTTGTTTTACATTGAATTACCGGTGTGGTTTATTGCATTTACATATTCTCAAAACTTCCTGGAAAAGTCATATTTAAACCAATGGTTTCAATGAGATTGATTTATATATGCGTGAATTTGCTAAGTGTTATATTTGCTCAATTATTGCCCAAGCAAATGCATGTTTAAAAATACGCAATGCATTGTTCAAAACTTGTGAATATTTAGTTTTGAAAGTCCATATTGTGTTCTGCGCATCAATAAATCCTGAAAAAAAATCCATACTTTTGATCTTACTATTTTGAGGTCACAAGTCATTTAAAAAGGACTGTTTGGAGATTCAATTTAATACCATTAAAATGCTTACATTTTTGTTCACGTAGAAAATGTTTAATGGACAATCAGATATTAGCAGCTATTCTTATTAGACATTAAACATGCAAAATGTGTTTTACGTCGAATTAGCATGATTTACTCAGTTCTTTTCAGCATTACATATGCTGCAAAAATATTTAAACAAAATGATTTAAATATGCTTAATTTTTATTTTGTATTAGTTGATCAGCAAATGCAGTTAACCGACTAAAATTGACTTTTTTTTTCAAGTCCATACTTTTAATCTAAAACACTTATTCTGAACTTACATTTACACCATTCAACTTTTTGTTTTTCAAAATGGTTCACGCTATTGAAATCCTTACATGCAAGACTTAAAAACTTTTTTTTAAAGTTTAATAGACCAATTATATATTATCAACAGCTTGGCTCAAAATGCCTCATACATTAAAAATAAATGCAAAACCATCCCCATTAATTTTTTTTTGTTAAAATTAATATATTCTAGGCCTGTTGTGACTGAATATTGCACAGAATACAGGTTTACCGCCTCTGCCTGGATGCATTTCACAATGTTTTGTTTATGATTTAAACGTACAAAACGTAAAAGACTTTCAAAACCTTTTAACAAAAAAGTTTCCAAAACCTGAACCAGTGATTACACGGCAATCCACTGGATGCACCTGAAAGTCCTCAGGGAGGTACTGCAGACACACAAGGGTAAGAAAAACATAATGGGCATCTCTAACATGCATTTTTACACAGAGACAGAGGAAAAGTGCTCTCGTTTGCAAATGAACAGAAATCCCAGCAACTGTTTTCAACAACATTTTATTTGAACAAAGCTCCTGAAGCACATCGATGCTCCAGTCTACTTCAGCTTCTTCTTGGGACGCAGGTTGTTGGTGTGGCCGCACTTCTTCTTGCGGCAGTTGACGGCACGTGGGTGCAGACGGGCGTAACACCTGAGACGAGAACATGGCTTCATTATCATTACTTTCTCAACACAACACTGAACCATCACCAGCACATGCCCTACATCAAGAGGACAATCACTAGACTTTACAAGTGAAGCGTGCGCGCTTACTTGCGGCAGATCATCTTCTCGCAGTTGTATTTCTGGGCCAGCTGTCTGAGGGACGGCTCGATGATGCCTCCTCTGAGACGCAGCACCAGGTGGAGGGTGGACTCTGAGAAAAACCACAAACACCATCCAATAAATACAACAGCTCTTGACCAACAACAAATGCTATGGACATGCTTTCTTTTTCAAGTCCGTCCAGTATTTAGACACCTTTCTGAATGTTGTAGTCTGAAAGTGTGCGACCGTCTTCCAACTGTTTGCCAGCGAAAATCAGACGCTGCTGGTCAGGTGGGATGCCTGAGGAACAATAAAGACATGTTAGTGGTCTGGAGAAGAATTAAAAAATGTATGCAAATTAAATAATAATAAAAATAAATAATAAAAGACATGTTAGTGGTCTGGAGAAGAATAAAAAATAATAATAAAATAAATAAATATAAAAATAATAAGACATGTTAGTGATCTGGAGAAGAATTAAAAAATTAATACAAATTAAATAATAAAATAAATAAATATAAAAATAATAAGAGACATGTTAGTGGTCTGGAGAAGAATAAAAAATAAATATAAAAATTATAAGACATGTTAGTGATCTGGAGAAGAATTAAAATTAATACAAATTAAATAATAATAAAATAAATAAATATAAAAATAATAAGAGACATGTTAGTGGTCTGGAGAAGAATTAAAATTAATACAAATTAAATAATAATAAAATAAATAAATATAAAAATAATAAAAGACATGTTATTGGTCTGGAGAAGAATAAAAATGTAATACAAATTAGTGGTCTGGAGAAGAATAAAAAAATAATTAAATAATAATTAAATAAATGTTGGTTAGTGGTTTAAGGAATAAACTTGGGAACACAAATCTTCCTTAGTAATTGTCATTTATCAGTAATTGTTTTCCAGTGAAAATGTCTAGATTCCTAAATCAAGATGTATTTACTTGAGAAGCATAGTAACTATAGTAGTTTATAGTTATGTTTTCTGAGAAATGTATCAAAAATGAAGTGAGTTCATTATTAAAACATGAACAAATATCTGCCTTTGGGCTCAGAGAAAAGAAAAGAAAATCAACTTGATTTGAGAATGTCATTACCTATTGACAGAAACCTGTTATTGCTTTATGCATAATCTTGCTTAACCTTGTTCAGTTTCTCAGAAAACTAAATCTCAAGTAAATGTGTCTGGATATAAGGATGTTTATAAATATAATTAAAAATATATTTATATTTAAAAAAAATAATATATATATAAAAAAAATAAGTTTTTTTTTTTTTTTTTTAATTCGACTTGAACCCCTTTAAATCTCATTGTTAAAAAAAAATTATAATAATCGTGAGTTGAGTGAATCGTTACATCTTCATAAACCACTGTACAAAATAATACAACTATAACTCCGTATCATCTGTAGGCATGTACCATGCTAGATACCACATATCTTGTAATGAATGACATCAAAAACACCCATTAGTGATCATATCTGCCTCCACTGAGCATCACAGATGAGCTTAGTGTCACTCAAACGCTGACAGCGACCTGTAATGTTATAAAATAGAGTTAGCAGGATAACCTAAGCGCCGTCACTTCGATATATACACATGTGCTATGGGTTTCGGCCGCTTTATCGCAAGTCTGGAGTTTCTCTCGCACACATGGCACAAGCGGCCATGACACTCCACCGCCACACGCTCAGCTCCAAACCACACAAACGCGTCCAAATCCACCACATCACCCGCTTTCATAGCTCCGTTCCTGACCATACACATCTAATGCAGATATGTATACACACATACGAGTGAATAAGCAGTGAAAACATTATATAATGAGACAATATGTCGGACGCTAAGCCTCACCCTCGCCGTCTCTGCAGGTCCTGGCGGAAAAGAACGACGCGTTTCTCGGGCGTGAAGATCGTGTGTATTTGAGCGTTGGAGCGCCTTTAGCGCCGCCTGCAGGACAGGAGCGGAACTGCAGCACTGCACGAGGTTCCAAGCCAGATTCATCAAACTCAGAACTAAAGTACCTAAAACAAGATCTGTGCTAGTTTTATCTAGCTGCATAATCTGTCTCAGCTTTTTGTGACAAGCTGTTATTTATTGTGTGAATTTGAGTGAGGTTTGGTGTATAAAACTAGCTGTCTTTCTATGTACGAGCAGCTGAGATTATTATAAATATTATTTGTATGTAGAATTACAACTGCTATGTGATTTGATACAATAATTTACAATTGAATATTTACATTAATACGATTTCTAAATGTATATGTAATAACAATATTTCATGTTTAATATATATTTACATATAAAATATTATTAAATATAATAAATAGTAATTATATTATTATATATAATACAATATTAATATATATAAAATATCGTAATTACTATTAAATTAAATATTTAATAATACTATTTTAAAAATGTATATATCTATATTTCATAATTATAAAAATATGTATTTTATTACACACTCTATGTACTGTCATAATAATTTACAATTTAATATTTATATTAACATTTTTAAATGTATAATATTATACACACACACACACACACACATATATACAGTATATATGTCAACTTTAATGGATGAAAGTGTACCCCTTCTCTTTTGAATGTTACCATTACTTTCCATTCCATTTCTTCATCCACCCTCACGCTTGACTTTGCAGCCTTTGTTTTTTTCCCCATGTCACTCACCTCCAACCCTAAACTTGAACTTCCAGAGCTATTACTCCTATCTTTCCTCTTCCTTGACACATCCTGCCAAGGCATACCTTCACTGTCTCCATCCGTACTTTCACCCATGATAGTTGCATCCACGGTACAGTTGTTGCTAATCCGTCGCACAAAACCGCACTCGCCTGTAGAACTCAGCAAGTCCGCTTCAAACGAGATGATCTCACTTCCAACGACGCGTTTCTCGGGCGTGAAGATCGTGTGTATTTGAGCGTTGGAGCGCCTTTAGCGCCGCCTGCAGGACAGGAGCGGAACTGCAGCACTGCACGAGTTTCCAAGCCAGATTCATCAAACTCAGAACTAAAGTACCTAAAACAAGATCTGTGCTAGTTTTATCTAGCTGCATAATCTGTCTCAGCTTTTTGTGACAAGCTGTTATTTATTGTGTGAATTTGAGTGAGGTTTGGTGTATAAAACTAGCTGTCTTTCTATGTACGAGCAGCTGAGATTATTATAAATATTATTTGTATGTAGAATTACAACTGCTATGTGATTTGATACAATAATTTACAATTGAATATTTACATTAATACGATTTCTAAATGGGGCGTGAAGATCGTGTGTATTTGAGCGTTGGAGCGCCTTTAGCGCCGCCTGCAGGACAGGAGCGGAACTGCAGCACTGCACGAGTTTCCAAACCAGATTCATCAAACTCAGAACTAAAGTACCTAAAACAAGATCTGTGCTAGTTTTATATAGCTGCATAATCTGTCTCAGCTTTTTGTGACAAGCTGTTATTTATTGTGTGAATTTGAGTGAGGTTTGGTGTATAAAACTAGCTGTCTTTCTATGTACGAGCAGCTGAGATTATTATAAATATTATTTGTATGTAGAATTACAACTGCTATGTGATTTGATACAATAATTTACAATTGAATATTTACATTAATACGATTTCTAAATGTATATGTAATAACAATATTTCATGTTTAATATATATTTACATATAAAATATTATTAAATATAATAAATAGTAATTATATTATTATATATAATACAATATTAATATATATAAAATATCGTAATTACTATTAAATTAAATATTTAATACTATTTTAAAAATGTATATATCTATATTTCATAATTATAATATGTATTTTATTACACACTCTATGTACTGTCATAATAATTTACAATTTAATATTTATATTAACATTTTTAAATGTATAATATTATACACACACACACACACACACATATATACAGTATATATAATACGATTTCTAAATGTATATGTAATAACAATATTTCATGTTTAATATATATTTACATATAAAATATTATTAAATATAATAAATAGTAATTATATTATTATATATAATACAATATTAATATATATAAAATATCGTAATTACTATTAAATTAAATATTTAATAATACTATTTTAAAAATGTATATATCTATATTTCATAATTATAAAAATATGTATTTTATTACACACTCTATGTACTGTCATAATAATTTACAATTTAATATTTATATTAACATTTTTAAATTTATATTATACACACACACACACATATATACAGTATATACACACACACACACAGAGATAAGTTGAGATGATTAAATATTATTTAATGTATACAATTAAATGTAGAATTAAAACTGTGATGTCACAATTTACAATTTCATCTTTATTATTATTAATATTTATTAATAATATAATTAGATTTATATATATATTTTTTACACACACACACACACACACACACACGTATATATATATATATATACCTATTTTAAAAATGTATATATCTATATTTCATAATTATAATATGTATTTTATTACACACTCTATGTACTGTCATAATAATTTACAATTTAATATTTATATTAACATTTTTAAATGTATAATATTATACACACACACACACACACACATATATACAGTATATATACACACACACACACACAGAGATAAGTTGAGATGATTAAATATTATTTAATGTATACAATTAAATGTAGAATTAAAACTGTGATGTCACAATTTACAATTTCATCTTTATTATTATTAATATTTATTAATAATATAATTAGATTTATATATATATTTTTTACACACACACACACACACACACACACGTATATATATATATATAATATCTATATTTCATAATTATAATATGTATTTTATTACACACTCTATGTACTGTCATAATAATTTACAATTTAATATTTATATTAACATTTTTAAATGTATAATATTATACACACACACACACACACACATATATACAGTATATATACACACACACACACACAGAGATAAGTTGAGATGATTAAATATTATTTAATGTATACAATTAAATGTAGAATTAAAACTGTGATGTCACAATTTACAATTTCATCTTTATTATTATTAATATTTATTAATAATATAATTAGATTTATATATATTTTTTTTACACACACACACACACACACACACGCACACACGTATATATATATATATACACACTTAGTTTTTTTAATTAAAAAGAAAAAAAGCAAAGCAAGATATTTCACAATATATTCATGTATTCTACCAGAATACATTAAAACATATTCATAATGAAACCATCAGTTATAAATATACAAAACAAATCATTCATTTCAAACAGACCTCAGAGTATTTTCATCATACAAGTGCACAATAAATACAGTGTCTTTTCAGTTAAAAGTCATTTATAGCCTATTAATTACAGACTGAACATTACTGATATGGATTGTGTGTCTTTCTGCAGCGATGCTCTGATGATCTCAGTGAGGATGAAAGAGAAACACGGTGCTGCTATCTGGCTTTCGGCAGTCTTCTGTTCATGTCGGCTTTCTGATTCGTCAGGTTATTTAAAACACAGCTGGAGCTGAGCATCGCCAGCCTGGAGTCCAGAACCACCTTCCTCTTCCTCCAGGAAGACCGATCTTCCTCCTCCTCTTCCTCATCCTCTTCCTCCTCTGCTTCACTTTCAACGTCGCTGCGTTCGTCCTTGTCCAACTGTTGAAGAGAAGGTTAAAGTGAGTTTGGTTACATATATTTTGGTTCATTTAAATAAACCAATTTATGGCAGCCAAATAATTGATCAGAATGTTCAATGCATTTGTAATCAGTTCATAAAATAATAAAAAAAGAGAGAAAAGTTCCTTTGAGCACAAATCACATATTTTGTTACGTATGCAACACTAAAACTGAAACTATTAAAATTAGTTTGTTTGTATAAATGTTATTATATATAAAATAAAATGCAAACATGAAAAACTTAAATGTAAAAATTTAAAGAAAATGAGAAATGTTTCTCTGGCAACTAGCTGAAATAAATAATTAATTATGTTTAGTTTACTAAAACTAAAATTAAATTAAAGCTAAAGCTAAATAGAAATATATACAAAACTCATAAAAATGACAAAAGCAAAAGTACTAAAACTAAATTAAATTAAACTAAAATTAAAATTGAACTGAAACTATACAAATACGGTAAATAATAATTATTATTAATTTAAAATTAATACAATTATTACTAAAATAAAAATAATTCAA